GGGCACGGGCCTGGGCCTGAACAGGGCTGGTTGCAAGTCCCTGCGTGCGAGCTGTCGGAGCGGCCGGCCGTCGTGCGGGTAACCCCAGCGGGAAGCTCTGAGGAGCTGGGGTTCGGATATGGTAGGAGGCAGCGGTGGTGAGGTGCCGGGGAGGACCCAAGTGAAGTGGGGTGGAAGAAGGTGGGCAGGGACACCCGGGTTCTGGTGGGGCGAGGCAATGATGGCAAACTGATGGAGCGCAGCCCGGAGCCGGCTCCCTTATGAAGACGCTCTCGTTGGGTGAGTAGACCCAGCCGTCGGAAATGGCCGCGTTGTCAGTAGGTAGCGTTCCACCATTTGAACGTTGGGTAGACACCCACTCACTGGGCAGGCTTCTGCATTGGCTTCCTTCTGTCGTTCTCTCTGTGCACGTTTAAATAACTGAGTAAGGAATGATGCTTTGAGAGGCTTGACGGCTTTCTGAGCCTGACCCGCGGGATCATTTGTACCTCCCGTTTCCATGGTGGAAGGCGTAAAGCTAGGGTGAACTGAAGTCTGTTCCTGTTGGTTTCCCAGGGGAAATGAAGTATTTTTGAAAATGTCGCCCAATATGCAAAAGTAAACGCTGGTGAGAAGAGTTTCAGCTTAAACCCTGTTTCATGTAGCATGCCCAGTTTCTAATTCCTTCCTTCAAAAGTTTTAACTACAGAGTGTTGTGGCTAGTAACTGCTAAAAACTGCTCCATATCAGGAGTAGTTCTTTTGCCTCACATCTTGCCCTGTGTGAACAGGTAATATAATTTGTACAGTATTTGTTGTAGTTCTCAATGTCCTTCATCTAAAATGTGGTTTTTTGTTTTAGAAAAAAAACTCTGAAATGGGATGCTGAAAATTTCATTCAGCACCGTAATAATTCATGGAGTGTTGTTTTATTTAGAAGCTAAGGCTAGCAGGTGGTGACAAGTGATGTATAGCTAATGTGCTGTGTAGTGGGGATGAATAGCTATGCAGCGTGCGCTGCTCCAAACTGCTGTTGGATCCTAGACATTTTGGGGTTTAGGGGTGATGTGAAAGATCGTCAGAGGTGCAGATCTGCTTTTGAACAAGAGAGTTGAACTGTCTCCTACTGTTAAGGGAACCAGTGAATGGTTGCTTGGATAAGGTCATCAAGGCAGAAAAAAATTTGGATAAATGAAGCTTTGTCCCTTGTTCTGTCAAGAAAACTCATTGAGATAAGTTAACTTTTTTTGTCCCTCCTCTCACCAAAAACATACAAATGAAGGGTGGGACAGGTCTCTCTGACTTGGGGGGGGGGAGGTGTCTTGTTTTGTGCTGTGATATTTTCTTTTTTTTTTTTTTTTTTACTTGAAGTGTCATGTTCTCAAAATAGTGGGGTAAAAAAAAGTGTTTGTGATGCCTCTAGCCTTTCCTGGCTATTGGGACAATTCAGAGGAGAAGTAGAAGATCTGTTCTGTAATTTAAAAAAGGTGACTTTCATTACATTTGAAGGCAGTTTGGAAAAAAAAGCTGTATTCTCTGTGGTTTTAAGTAGATGATCTCCAAACTTATTTGAATTTGTGGTTAGAACCTAAGTGGATCTAATTATATACACAGATGTTCATTATAGGTTTTGGAACACCCTAACCTGTGGGATTATAGAACATGGATATAACAGAGGGAAAAAGTTGGGCAGGACTTTTTCTAGGACTGGTTGTCTCTAGTTGAATGGATTGCTTAGGAAAGAGTTTTTCCTGCTCCGTCATCTTGCTCAAAGTGGGATCACAGTGACATGGGAGTCAAGCATAGAGTAGTTCTGGTGGACTCAACTGCAATGCCTCTGAGCAGTCCCAAGAGGTCTCTGAACACGGGTGTATCGTAAAATACTTCAGGGTGCATTCAGCATAACTTTTATTCTGGTGAAGCCTCTGGCAGCATGTCATGCTATGAAGCTGCAGGTCAGACCTCATTCTCTGGAGGTAACAGTCTTGCTTAGTCTTAAAAGTCTGGAAGAAGCTGCAGCTACATTGGCGAAGGGTAAAACGAGCATAAGGAAAAGACGTGCGCTTTGGAGGCTGTGGCTTTCAGGACAATATTTAATTCTTTCACAAAGCCCCTGCCCTTTATTGAAGTTCCTGCTTTCTAAAAGGTGCATGCCCAATGGAGAGTCTTCAGCTCTCTTCTGTAAATCCATGTTTTGCATGGGAAAGTATCCAGCAGTCCAGATGGTAAAAGTTAGCAGATGAGGACTACAGTACTGCATAATGCACACAGTTAACCTTTCGGTATCTCATTGCTCTTCTCTTCCCCACCCCCAGTGCTTTCTACCTGCTATGCTTTGTGCAAGTGGTATCAGATTCAAGTACTAGGTCTTCAGGGCAGGGCTGCTCTCTTACTCTGTGTATGTGACTTCACAGTGACATTCAGATACCACTGCCATTGTAGTAACTTTTAGCATAAATAGTAAAGTAAACCTTATAAAACTATGTGAAATAACACAGAAATGGAATTTTTCTTGATTTGAGAGCTCCTGTATGGTGTTTCCAATGAACCGAAAGCATCTGGTAAAACAGTTATGCCGAGCTGAGCGCTGAATGGTTCTTTCATACATGCCTGTGTCCTTTATTTGCATGCAAATACTCTTTCTGCAGATAACAACTAACGTGAAAAAAATCCTCTATTCTTCATCTGTATTGCTTGAGAGTGCAATAAGTATACGAGGGCAAAAATCAGTGCGGTGTTACTCGCTGCTTGTCTTTTCCCTTTTCTTCCCTTGGTTTCAGACTTCTCACCCATCCAATCAAAGGATAAAGCAAGGTGATGTGGAGAACTCATCTCACACCTGGATTTAGTTCAGATGAGACTCTCTGAAACACATGAGTTTCTGAAATCTGTGTATGAATAAACAAATGTTTTCTCAGACGCCAGGGCTGATTCAGGAATGATTTATGAGTAGCAAGGAGGGTTATGTGATAGGTAATTTATTTTCAATCTGACTGGATTTACCCAGAATTTTGCACAATGAAGATTTCTATTTGTGCCTTAACCAACCTGTCCAAGCTGTCAGCAATGAAAAAATTGTAGAATTTGTGATGATCATAGACGCTTTTCTGCCAACAGATAATTACAGTTGTGACAAAAGTTACATTTATTTCAGATGATTTGTACAGTGTACAGATGCTGTACAGTTTGTATAGCAAACACTGTACATTTCAGAAAGGTCTCTGGGAGGTCGACTGAGGCAAAAAAAAGAGGGTGGAGGAGATGGAAGTGCTGACTTACTTCTGGACACATTTTAGATAAGAGGTATGAGGAAACAAGCACGTAGTTTTTCTGGAGAGGTATGTAGGAATCCAGTAAAGAGTTAAGTCTGATATTACATCTTAAGATTAGAAGGTGCCGCTGAAGTTGCAGCATTTTTTATTAAATCATTTCTTCTTCTCACCTCTCTTCTCACCTGTCGTTTCTTGACTTCAGTTACCAAAAGCTTCTTTGGCAGTCCAGCTGTGTTCCTTTGTTCGTGTGTAATATGGCACACTCTTTTGTTTGTTCTGTCTAGGGTCCAAAAGTTTCCTTAGTTTTGAGTGTTCAGAAGCTTAAAATGGTGGAGTGCTCTCTGTGCAGGGAAACTATCTCACCTGATGGGCAAGGTGGGATGGTAGAGCAAATGTACTGTAGGAAATGTGAAGACAAAATGAGTACTCGGAGACTAGAATAATGCAGATTTCTTATGTACTTAAGCAGTAATTTTGGTAAGCTTTGCCAATATTTATTCAAGCTTCATTTGTTGTCTGTCTTACAGCAACATGTTATCCAAAATGCAAAAATGGTGGGGAGTGCCTCAGACCTGGAAAATGCAGATGTCCACCTGGCTATGGGGGTAGATACTGTCATAAAGGTGAGTAAAACCCAAATAAGTGGTAGCTTGGAAAGGCAAGTTTTAAAACAGACAAAATTAATTTAGGACTCCTCAAGTCCAAGATCTAATGCTCTTTGAAATAATGGCCTTAATTCCTTAGGCCTCTGACTTTGCTGTCAAAAAATGCATGGCCTAGAGGACCTGCATGCTTGCAGGAGAATGAGGTGGAGGATATGTACTGAAATTTGTTGTGAGAATCTGAAATAATTTGGTCCCTTGGAAAACACCTTGTTTGTGTGTTACGTAAATATTCTGTAGTTTAAATACTGTTTAGCTCTATAACAGCCTCTTTCTAAATAATTTAATGAGATGACTTGTATAAATACATATTTCTGTGCTAGGTGGTTGAAACTTGTGTACTATCTGCAAGATGGGAATTTTGAGGGCAAGTTGCTAAAGATAGTGTGGCAATGTATTGTTGATAGGTAATGGGAGATGACAGAAATGATGAGCAGCAAAGACCAATTTTTATGATTTTGTGAAACCTATTGAATATATGTATGGATTGGAAAAGGCAATCTAAGAAAACATTGTTATGTTGTTATGAACTGATCAGACTACTGATGATAACTGGAGTTTCTGGGATGAGAGGGAAAGCAAACTTGATATATTTGAGGGGAAAATGATGTAATAGGCAAGATATCCCCAGAGAGTGAAGGAAAAGAAAGCATTGTTTTCCTCTCAGAAGAAAAGCACCTGACACTTAAAAAAGTAGCCTGGCATTTAAAAAATTTCTGGAAATTCTTTTTGAACAGATACTGGTAAATTGGTTGGGCATTCTGTCTGACTGTGGCCACAGTGGCTAGCAACACCTCCCAGGATTCTCTGTTTGTGCTTGATGTTTATTCTGTGTTCATTTTCTTTATTTCCTTCAAATGTGAAATAGCTACAGGAGTTTACTTGGAATGTAACCTAATGGGTACTTGGGGAAGGAACTCGGCTAGCTTCTGCGGCTCTCTGGAGTCTTGTGTTGTTGGGTTGTCTGTGGGCTTTTTTATTTTATTTTTTAACAAAGCTGTATTTGGTATTTTGTGCAGAAAGCATGGCCTGAGTGTACCTAACTGGTAACATCTGTCTAAGTTTGCAGAAGCTTAAACTGTAACTCTGGGATGTTAACTAGTCTGAATGGGAATTCAACTGCCAGTGATAATAATTTGTTAACATTATAGAGGAAGGAATAAGAAGGATAAGGAAGTGCCTTCTAATGAAGAACTGTGTAACACGTACTATTGTGTAATGCATTGGGGAATAACTGTTCATTTTGTGTAGACATAACAGCATTGAAAGCAGCAAGGTAAACTGGAGGATGGGTCAGCTTCATTATCCAGCAAAAGGTTGTTGTGGGTTTTTTTTTAATTTCTTAAGAGTCAACTGAAAGTGTAGGTTTGTGGAGTAGGGACCCCACAAGAAGGGGGAACTTGATCTTATCAGAAGAGCCTAAATCAGAAGTAAGGTAAGTAGTACTTAAATGGAAAAAGAAGATTGAGGATTCAATTTATGCTAATTCTAATGTAGACTTGGATTTGTATCTGAGTGAAGGTCCTACTTGTATTCGTTATCCCTTTAAGGCAAAGGATGTGCTTGTGCTTATCTTTAAGGTGGAGTACTGTAGCATATGGAGCCTGGATGTACAAACCTGCAGTGCGGTTCAATGTGCTATTACAGAATCACAGAATCTCACAGAATCACAGACTGGTTGAGGTTGGAAGGGACCTCTGGAGGCATCTTGTCCAACCCTCTTACTCAAGCAGGGCCACCGAGAGCCGGTTGCCAAGGACCATGTCTAGAAAGCTTTTGAATATCTTCAAGGATGGAGACTTCCACAACCTCACTGGGCAACCTGTGCCAGTGCCTGGTCACCATCACAATATCCACTGCTTTCCCCTCATCTACCAGGCCAGTCGTTTCATTGTAGAAGTGTACCACCCTTTGGTGAAGCTTTGCTGACTATTCCTGATGATTTTCTTGTCCTTAATATGCCTGGAAATGGTTTCCAGGATTAGCAGTTCCATCACCTTCCCAGGGACTGAGGTGAGGCTGATGGGCCTGTAGTTCCCTGGGTCCTTGCCCTTCTTGAAGATTGGAGTGACATTTGCTTTCCTCCAGTCTTCAGGCACTTCTGCCAGTCACCACGATTGATCAAATACAATCAATAGTAAATACATTAACTTATACTGAGTGACAAAGAAATATGCAAACAAGCTTTGAAGAGCTGTTCTAGCTGTGTTGGAGTTGACTCGCGTGTCCTTGCGTGTTCAGCATTTGTGCCAAAAATCTGTTAGTTGAAGTCAGGCTCAAAACGTGTGGTAGAACAGAGATTTGCATTTTTTTCTACCAAGTATCAAGCATACATCCCAACTGTCCATCATTATAATGAAGGATAGTTGTTTCTCTTCAATACAGTGAAGGTGTTGTATACACTTACATTCATGCTTGTGAAAGGATGTGTTTGATTGTGTGGAACAGTGATTATGCCATAATTCAGATGATGCACACCACAGTTGATATCAGTCATATGTCTAGCGTAAATAATGCTTCATCAGTGAGGCCTTCAGGGTTTTGATGTGTAGAACGGTTCTGGAATGAGGAGGCTGACTTAGTTGGCCTTTCGGAAGGCACCACTCAACTGGACTATAGTCATAAGTTCATTTGTCAAAGTAATATCCCCTTCTCTTCATAGAATCGTAGAATACCAGGTTGGAAGGGACCTCAAGGGTCATCTGGTCCAACCTTTCCAGGCAAGAGCACAGTCTGAACAAGATGGCCCAGCACCCTGTCCAGCTGCATCTTGAAAGTGTCCGGTGAGGCAGAGTCAACCATGCCCCTGGGGAGATGATTCCAATGGTTGACTGTTCTCATTGTGAAAAATTTCCCTCTGATTTTCAATCAGAATCTTCTCAGGATCAACTTGTACCCATTACCCCTTGTCTTTTCCATGTGACTCCTTGTGAAAAGGGAGTTTCCATCTTCTTTGTAGCCACCCTGTAAATACTGGTACACGGTGATGAGATCACCTCTGAGCCTCCTTTTCTCAAGGCAGAACAAACCCAGTTCTTTCAGCCTGTCCTCATACGGCAGGCTTCTCAGTCCTTTGACCATCTTGGTGGCCCTTCTCTGGACCCCCTTCAGCCTGCCAACATCTTTTTTGTATAGTGGGGACCAGAACTGTACAGAGGATTTCAGGTGTGGCCTGACAAGCACTGAGTAGAGTGGGGTAATGACTTCTTTATCCCCACTGGTGATGCCCTTTTTGATGCAACCCAGCCTCCTGTTGGCCTTCTTGGCTGCAGCAGCACGCTGTTCACTCATATTGAGTTTGTTGTCCACCAGAACCCCTAGGTCCCTTTCCACAGACCTGCTCTCCAGCCAGGTGGATCCCAGTCTGTGCTGCACTCCTAGATTTTGTTTTCCCAGGTGCAAGACCTTACACTTGTCCGTGTTGCACTTCATAAGGTTCTTGTTAGCCCACTCCTCCAGCCTATCCAGATCTTCCTGCAGGGTCACTCTCCCTTCCAGAGTGTCTGCTTTCCCACTCAATTTGGTGTCATCTGCAAAATTCTTCCTCTTGTTATGTGTAGGTCCTGTCAGGTAAGGAAATATGTGAATCCTTGACCACACATTACTGGCTTACCAGCTGTGATTTGGCAAGATCAGTGAGAATATGCATGTTAGTAGTTACTGTGGTGTAGCTGGCGAGCAGTTGGTTAACAGTTGGGGGAGGGGAGGGGAAGGGAAGGGTGTGAGGAGCTGTGCCATAGTGATAATCATGTTTGTTGGTACTCTGAGGCTAACGAGCTCTTAAGCACATATTTAATTTTAATGGCATTTTGAGTTGGCATTTTCAGACATGGTTCTGCCATCCTTACTCGCTCCTTATGGAACTGTGTCTTGCTCTGAATAGTTGAAATGTTAGTCTTTGCAGATGTGATAAAACAAGCAGTTGATGGTAGACCAGCTGTTTAAAGATAATTATCTGAAGTCCAGTGCTGCTTCTGAAATGCACTGCATATGCTGTTCTTCTGCAGTCAGCTGTGAAGGAGGCTGTCAAAATGGTGGGGAATGCATCTCTGTCAATGGAGTTGTGAAGTGCCTTTGTGCTTCTGGCTGGACAGGATCAAGATGCCAAGAAGGTGGGTATCTACATTCAAAATATAACTGCTGTAACAAAAACATTTTGAAGGTATTAAGAGGCTAAGAACTATGGAAATGTCATTGCATTACTACAGAAATGAAGGACCTTCATTATTGGAACATACTCAGATAAAATAGTGTTGAATTATTTTGCATTAAAGTGTTCCTCTGTTAACATTTAAACTTAATAAAATACTTAAGTATTTTTTTCTATTTCCCATAGTCCTGGAAATGCCTTTAGAGTTATACCAGTTGAGTATCTGGCCTGGAAGAAAACGTGTTTTGCCATTTTGATTTGTATCATCCTGAATCTTTCATTCTGTCAGGATTCTTTTATATCAGTTTTGTAAATCCTGCTGACTTACCCATTCTTTTCTTCTAGCAATTTGTCCCCAAGGTTGTCGGAATAATGGAGCTTGTGTGGCTCCTGGGATTTGTAGCTGTCCAGCTGGATGGGTCGGTGGAGCATGTCACTTAGGTAAATGACTTCTGAAATATTTCGTGTATCCTTTTCTCTACTTGTTTGATTTACCAATATAGTGTTCAAATCTTCAATGCCTAACAAAGCTGCTAGGAAAGTATCTTAGAATAGTAAATGAGAGCTGCTCCTGCATACTGAGGATCTTACAAGTATGCAGAAGGAATAGATGGCTTTTTAATTTGGTCAGAGAGACAGAACTTTTCCACTTGAATAAATTTAGATTCAGATTTTGGTTGTCACCAAATTGATTACTTGGTATGTCTTGTCACTACTTCTGAAATACTTCCTATAAACTGAGACCCCAGAATAAATGAAAATGGCCATTACAGCAACACTATCACTACCGATGCGAGTTGGAAGCTTCATTAAATTTTATGGACATGGAAAATTGAAACTTGCTTCTCACTTTGAGGATAAGTTGGCAGAATCAACTCCAGGTGCTCTGCCAGGAGTAAGAGGAAGCTAGCTATAATCAGGATTAGTGCTGACTGATATTCTTGCTGAACAACCAAGTTTTTATTCACAAAAGCAAATATAAACACTTTAATCTACTGTTCTCTGGCAGGGCCTTGTATGCTCATAACAGCATTTCCTTGATGCTAAATGCAATAATCCTGAGACTGTAAAAAGGAAAGGGTTTTTGTTTGCTCTCTAGGAGACTGAGAGAAAGCTCATTTAAACATTGCTTTTGAACTGGGCATCATGGGTGCAAGGTCTCCGGATTAAGTCCTCTGCATTTGAAATTTTTGTGTGGCTGTGGGAATCCAAATCAGCTAGTGTTAGTTCTTCTGCAATATATATAGTCAAGCAAACATTAAAAATAATACTTGAACATTCCCATCTGACCAGCAAAATGCTTGTCCTTTGTATTCATCAGCATATTGAGTCAGAGGTATCCTTTGCACTTATCAGTGTATCGAGGTAGAGGGTGATATTAAACAGGAAGTATGGGAGATGCAGAGAACTTATAAAATGCTTAGCTCCATTCCCTGCACCAACAGTAATGGTAGGAGTGTTCAGGTTCTTAATGTCAAAATAATGACTGTTCCTGGACTAACTAGATCTGCATCTAGTTTGACTTCTGTTGGTACAGATGCTCATAAGCAAACTGCAGCCCCTGGCTTGTTACCTGAGCTGGTGTGTAGCTAGGGGACAACTAAAGCTGTGCCCACTCCGGTCCTCTGCTCTTCTTTTGGGGGAGTGGGGGGAGCAGAAGGGCAGTAGTGTAAGCAGCAGCTAGTATGTGGCAACTGTTTCCTCATGGAGGTGGATCCAAGAACCGTCTTGAATAAGCTTCAGCAGGGATTTTTATTGTTCCCTCACTTTCATGGAGGCATCCATCTCAAAAATAGCCTGTGCCTTAAAGAACAGAAATGATAGTATTTTAAAAGGGGAATGGAGTATGAATAAGACTAGACGGACTGTGGCTGTATTCCAGGGAAGACCGTGATGCCATAAATTGAGAGGCATTGCTTTTCAATTCTTCCATTATGCTTTTATTTATACTGTCCCAGTGCAGTCACCAGGGAACAATTCTGGTAGCACAGTGAGACAAAGAAGAAAAATGATCCTGTGTTGTGCTGAAGACATACTATGTATCTGGTGTCTCATTTCAGCTGTATGTAAACTACCTTGTCAACATGGAGGAAAATGCATAGCTCCAAATGTGTGCAGATGTCGACTGCCGTACTCTGGTCTACAGTGTACAAAGAAAAGGAAGGAATGAGGCAACTTCAGCAAAGATAAGCTGCGTTTTCTTCATGTAACTCTTCAAACAGAGATGAAGTCTGCAGCAGTGGGGGACCTTAAAACAAATATGGCAACTAATTGATTTCAGATAGCTTTTTGTCTTCAGTACATTAAGTAAATGCTTTTCTATATGAAAGAAAAGTATTGGTGATTGTAACAAAGCTGTTAAAAGTATCCAAGTGAGTGTAGTGTATAGCACACATTTTCTTCTGTTCTCATTTTTCTTCGTAAGCAGAAGTACTAAGTCTTGGTTGATACAGCTGACCTTGAAATAAAATTTACTTGTCAAATAAAGTACTTCAGAATAGATCTATGCTCTTCTTTTTTATTTTTTTTCTGCCTTTGACTAGAATTATTGCTTTCTATTAGTGATGTGTTTTTAAAGAGGCCATGAAACAAAATGTCCTTAATTCAGATTATCAGAAGTGGATGTTAGTTCAAGTATAATTTACCTTCAGTGAGAATACACAGTTGCAAGAGGAAACGTGCAGAGTTTGCATCTTTCTGGAACATCAGCAAACTGCAAAACACCTTATTAAAATCCTGGTTATTGCTTCATATGCGCTTCCTGCCTCTCCCCCCCCAATCAGATTTGGATCTTGATCAGTTAAACAGTATTACAAAACCCCCCACAAAACACAGTACTTGTTCAGACAGTTCCACTGTTACTTTCTAAAAGCTTAATCTGTACTGATATTCTAAGAGTCCTTATCTTGACGACTACTATCATCATATTATCTGATCATCTCTCAACTTCCAATTATTTCCTTTCCTTATCCCAGTAAGATAGGGAAATGTCTTTATCTCCTTCCTGGAGATACAGACACTGATGATTCATTCCTATTCAAGATTGTGTTGTTACAGGAGCAATATAATGGGAGTGTACGGACTGGCAGTGAGGAAAAGCCGTGTCTGTCACAAATCACATGCGTGGAGGATGCTGAGGTTTGTCTTCTGGACGTGTTCCAGTTTGGCCTCATTTAGGCTTCGCAGCCTTTTGAACGGGCTGCAGGTTAGACTGAGGCTGCTACGTTCATTGTTCCGTGTCTCATTTGTGCTGTTTCTTCAATGCTACAGTTCAGGAAGGTTTTGCTAAAACAGACAAGTTGAATCGGTTAACTTGCTGAATGATGCCCAAATCAAATTTTTTTTGAGATGGATTGATTTGCCTTGTCTTCTAGGTGAAACTGGATTTTTTTGGTGGGAGAATTTTAACTATGTATTACTTTAATCCATTTGCCTATGTGTTATTTTAACCCATTTGGTGGGATAACATTGTATCTGTGTATAAGGTCCCTTGGCAGAACATGTGGAGTTCATAGGTAGAGTGACTTACATGGACGTGTTTCTCCAGGGTTTACAAGCCACTGAGCATTGAGAAGAAGCAAAGGAAATGGGGTCTTCTCAGTTACCAACCTTCTCTACCAGAGAGAACCTGAGCATATGGGAGGGCAAATGAAAGTTCATGAGACTCCTGGTTTCTGTTACGAGCAATTGCTGCGTTGTGTAGTTGAGAAGCCTTCTGCTGTCCTTGCTTCGGAGGCTGTTGCATTTGATTCGGATGAAACCTGCTACAGACTTGTGTTGTGCCACTAGGGGCAGGGGACAGAGTAAGAGCATTGTATGTTTTTTTGTATCACAGCTGCTTTTGCTGTGATACACTGGATATTTCAGACATACTGGTGAAAAATGCAGTTTTCATGCATGGAACAAGATGGTTTCATCAACGGTTCTGGAGCAAGCTTTATGATGATGAAGTTCTGTGTCACAGTTCACTACAATAATCACACCATAATTTAGAAATTGAGGAGTTGAACACCTTAGATGGCACACTGGTTGCAGGGAAGTGAATGGAAAAATATGAATTGCCTCAGACCCAAGATTTCAGAGTAAATGAGCAGAAGAATGTAAATGCAAAGAGGTGTAATATCCCAGTACTGTTCGTGAAAAGACTTGACTTCTACTTGATAAAGCCACAAGTGACAATAACGGTGATTAGAAGCCAAAAGAGATATCAGCATCGTTAGGAGCATAAGACCAGGAGCAGTCAGTGAGAGGGACCTGTAATTGGTGTTTCTGAGCAGGCCAGAACAAATGCTAATTTAAATAGTTCCCCATCTAGAAATGATGGAAGTAAGCAAGCGGTAATTCGATGGCACACAGAATGTGATTGCTTATCTTAGAAATACTGCTTGAACGTAGCACCATCTACTGGCTACAGGGTTTCCCGATGGGATTTTTTTGGTTTTGTTTTTAAGAAATACCATTTAAATCCCCGCAATGTTTTAAGTGAGTTTAAAAGTGAATTTTCTCATAGTTATTTTAAAGTAGAACAGTCTCAGAATGTATTATGCATGACAGTCCAGGTCCCCAAATTATTTCTGCAGTTCCACGTGTATTTACTGAAAGAGCTGTCAGTATTCCTCATCTTTTGTTTGTTTCCCACTCGCTGGAGGATTGATCATTCATACCAGTTACAGCATGTAATTTTTAGAGCAAGATGTGTCTTCCCGCAAAAAAACAGTTGTGTGTGCAGCTCAAAGGTCCAGAAAAATGATACAGAACAGGTTACCTCCCTTAGTTATTAGAGCTAAATGCAACACCTTATACAGATGCTCTGATTTTCACTAAAAGCAACTGGAAAAATTGTAGCGGTAGTGCACTGGTTGCATTTAATTTACTTACATGCACATTTTGCCATTTATATTTTCTCTTCTATAAGAAAGTGGTTGTAGCGAGCACGGATTTACTTAGTTTATCTGTGAAATACCCTTTATTGGCTAAACTGAACTGTGGGTGGAAGTTGAGTTAAATGACCCAACATTGCCATGCGATACCTTTATGTGAGGAACAGCATAAAAAACTTGAGTCGTTAGTAATACTTTCTAACCTCTGTGTTTGGTTTTTTGTATAGGCACCCAGGTGTTACATTTTACTGAGAATTTAAATTTTGAATTTTCCCATTTGGGCAAGTAATGGAGTGGATACAGCCAATTTGTCAAGTAGCTTAAGCTTTTGTACCGATTTACTTCAAGGTTCGCGCTGATTCTTCACGGGTTTGCTTTTGGTAGATGGAAATGTTAACTCACTTTCTATTCTCGGTTATGAGAATATATAATTAACTTTTGTAAAAAAGAAAGTCTTTCACACAGGGCCCACAGGGATACAAATGTAGGAAACTGAGTCCTTGCTAAGATCTGTGGTATCTTCTGTGACAGGAGTCCTTGCTTCAGAAAACGCTCGCTGTACGGCATTTGAAAGATCCTTTCAAGATTACAGGCAAAAGTCAGTCTGTGGTTGGGAGAATTTCTGCTCTGGCCTGCAGAGCAGCTTTAGTGCAACCAGATAATAAATGGCTGATGTACATAGGTACCTTCCAGCACCATTCAGCATTTAAAGACCTCATGCAAGAAAATTCAGTGAAGATACTAGTGTTCTGTATAATGTACGAAGAATGACTGCAAGATCTTCAGTTTGGCACAAGCTGCCCTTCATTCCATCCAACTGGAACCGTGGCAACTCCTACAGTGTGCAACCCTTCTCCCCTCTTCCAAATCATTATGTAATTTTAGAACAATTTTGTTAACCTGTGTACACAAAGCCCTCCATATGCTTCTGCCTCTCGTTAAACCAAGCAATTTTACCGCATTGTTGCAATGTGCTTTCTAATTACAGTGAATTCTTCTTCATGTGTACGATGGATAATCTAGTAACAAAATAGTTTCAACTAATCACGTAATTACTGGGTGGTTTTGAAGTAGCTGTCTGTCTGCATGTACTAGTCATTTCTCTGCTTCATGTGCTTGCTGGAAAATAGCACAGCTTAAGCATTGAGCATCTTTAACTACTGTAGCAAAATTCTGGATGTGCTTTTGTTTGCACAGCTTGCATTTTGAAAATGTACCAGAAATCATTTCTGCCTTTAGAAATGCTGAAAATAAATAGGAAATACTAGAAGTTATGATTTAAAAATAGCCCTTTATTCAGCCTGAAATCCTAGCAAGGCATATATATGCATGTGTGTATGTGTGTATATATATATATATATATATATTCAGGTTTGTGACTGGAGGGTTGTACAACTCATTACCCAAAGTACTGTTAACCATGTTCCTGGCAGATGTTATCATCTCTTTCTTTAGCACAACACCTCTGCAACTGACATGTGGAATGGGAGTTATTACAATATGAGATTATGCAATATTGGTGTGTTTACATTTTAAAAACATTTTCAGAACCTTGCCTATTCAAAGCATCAGCCTGAGACATCAGTTCCAGTAACTAGTCAGGTTATCAGCAGATCTTTGTGAGATGTGAGGAAGGAAACAGTTCATGTGGAGTAGGTTTTAAATAACAGAACAGTTCCCAGCAGATCAGGCTATCAGCCACTTGGATGCTCGATTAAAAGAAACTGTGGAAACAATGAAACTTAAAATGCAAGTGGGAAATTGAAAACATTTTTTAAATACACGAGTCAGGCACTTGGAAATCCACTGGGTATCATTCTGGAATGATGCCGAGCTCTCAAAATGCCAGCTTACTTTGCAAAATTACTTAAGAGGACCATCAAAAGGTGAGGAGAAATCTAGGCACAGAGCTGCTAACAGCTATGATTTGGCAATCAGCATCCCACAGTGGCAGTAAATGGCAAAATGAGCTCTATTTTCTTCCCATTCAGAATCACTGTATGTAAACTGAATATTGCTCAGGAGAACAGGAACTCATGACATTTATTTTTGGTTTTAAAAAAAACCACAACCCAACAGCAAACCAAAACTGTAAACATAAAGGGATGTTTGTATCTATTACCAGAGCTCAGCTGGTTGGGGCAGGAACTGAAATGTCTTTCACAGCTCTAGGGGAAGAATATGGCGGTCCTCTGTAGGAAACTTCAGAAAAACTGGAATTTTATTTGTTCAAAAACTATCTGACTGGTGGTAGGGGCATTGATACAGTTCACTGGAACAGTAGATAATGGAAAAAACTCCTAAGTTTTTACAAATCCTTGCTGATTCGATGTATACACATAGCATGATGTACAGCAAATTCCTCCTCTGTTTAGTTCCCGTTTTAAGATTCAGCATGGCTCAAAGCATTGCCAAATTTCTCTAAGCGACACAGGGACAAAATTTCCTCCTGTTACTGAATGTCATCTCAAACCAGAGGCATAAAAGAGCCTTACAGACATACAAATCATTGAGCAGCTGGGTACTCAACTGCCTGAGGGTAAGTAATGGGGGGGTGGGGTGGGGGAAGAACAGTCCATATCTGGCTCCTGGCTACAAAAGCTTGCCATAGATAAACCAGAATTATTCTGCATCTGGTTCACTGTTAACCAGACACGCAGCCTTGCCTCCATTGTTAGTAGCCAAGTCCTGTCTCGGGTTTCCCTCCCTTCTTCACTACTAGCTTGATGCAAATACAAGACAAGAAAAAAAAATCATTCTGGTTTTCCATCTCTAAGCAGCCGAATAATACGTATGTAAACAACATTTAAAACCAGAAGGTACCATTCACAAGCGAGGAAGTGCTGCCTTCTTTCCTAGAGATGCTTAGCAGCTATTGCAATCTTGTTCCCACAAAGGAAATCTCATCGTCCAGTTGACCACATCACCAAACGGCAGAATTTGAGGTTTGCATTACTCATCAAATCTGAGGCCAGTGAAGAATTGGAGGCTGTGGGGCTTGTGCATGAGGTAGCAAAAAATTATAGAAATATACGTATGCTTTAATGACTACAAGGTGGTGGCACTGAAGCTCACTGAAATTCATGACTGTAATATGACTCTTAAGATAATGCTTCTGGATATTCCTTTCATTTAAATAAACTCTGTAATTGCCTTCAACCCTCTAGCTATTTTCAAGTCTCATACATCCATGCAGCATTGCAGTTTAATTGATACACTTCTCTTCTTCAACCATGAGGCCTTTGTACCTTGGAGAGAAAAATAAAGAAAGAAATGTAAAAAGAGACTTTAATGACACTGCCCATTTTTATCATAAAATTTTAAGAAACTATTTTAAAGAATCTCTGCTTTCCTGGTATGCAGAAACACAATGTTAAGTTAAATTTGTGCATATAGCTTGTTCTTTTCTTGAAGAAAATGGGCTGTTTTGGTGAGTGTATGATACAGGACTGTCTGACTGATCAGCAATTCATTTTCTAGATTAATAATATACTAATGCTTTGCAGGATATAACATTTCCAGGGCATAAACATTTAAATCAAAATTCTTTTTTTTTTTTTTAGGTCATTTTGGAAATCTATATTGCAAACATTATAGTCTTATCATCGGATATGTAATTTTGTATTTTCAAAATGTGTATGAGCATTTGTTTGTTTCAAGTTCTTTAACATACTTGCCCCATGTCTAGCCTGTTATCTGCTATCTGACCACAAATGGTGTTGGCATTGCATATGGACTTGATAAAGTAGAAAAAAAGATCTGAACTCCCTGTAGTTTCAACTGGGAGAAACTGAGGCTGGATGAAAGTCAAACCATTGCTGTCTTGCCTGTTTTTTACCCATTTCTCACAAAAATGCCCGCACATCTAGCAGTCACATTATAGGTTTTACATTAAAAGAAAGACATAATGTGGCAACGTACTAAAAGGAAAGGAAAGATGGGAAGGATAGCATATGCTAGTTTGGCTGCAGCAGGAGACCAAAGAACTAAATTGTTTTCGAAAGAAAACACAGTACAGGTGTGAAGAGCAGCACATAATCAAAGCTGAATGTAAAGAACAGCCCCAGCATGCAGTGCCAGAATCAGCTAGGCTATCTCCTAACTCCACCAAAAAAATTCTGCTGGCACCAGAAAAGTGTCTAAATATGTTGAAATTAAAAGAAGAGAATCATCACAGATGACACGAGAAGAGTCGAATGCTTTCTACTTCAGACATCACAAAAAAGTTGTAATGAAATGTTTAATTAAATTACTTCAGTGAATGACTGTCAGCACTCAAGCAAAGGAATACAACAGAAGATCACATGATAAAACAGAGAAATGGCCATCATTCACTATAATGCAAAAAGTAAAGCTACTCCCAGAGTTACATTTTGGGTAATGAATGTTTGTATAAAATAGGGATGAACTGAAAGACATTGCAGTTAATTAACTGAAAAAGATCAGGGCTTGACTTGATGCAAGCTGTGGAAGTAAGTAGTGAGATACTCTTCCCTAAAATGGGAAAGCCAGATGCTGGAAAAGAGAATAGTGGTTGTTATGAAGAGGAGAGTTACCAATTCCCGCTGCCGCCACTTAGAAATGACAAGAGATAATCGGCTTAATTTGAAATGAAGGAAATTTACATTAGGTGTTGAAACCAGTTCTGTAAGTATTAGAGCCTATAAATTACTGGAATAGCTTTTAGGGATTTTACGAATTTTCCCTCACCAGAGACCGAAAGGAAGAAATTAGAAAAACACATTTGCTGTATTTTGTGCTGCTTCATTGGACAGGAGTGGACTAGATAATGACTCCCAAACTTCTGTGTCTTGACTCCACACATACCTGAATTTTCTTCCCACAGAGGACTCCCGTATAACCAGGACGACAAGAGCATACGTTAGGCAATACACACCTGCCTCCAAACAGACACTTCTGGTTGCACACAGCTAAAACAAGAGAGGTACATATGTGGTTTTGTTCATAAAGCAACCTGGTGAAGGAAAAGTGGCTACTATCTCTATATACTTATTCTGCTTGCTTGTAGGAGCTGAGAACTTGATAGGTATTTTCACAGGGAAACACTCCATAGTGTAAGGAGACTTCACAGTCATGTGGAGACAGCAATGTTCTTATGCTTGTCCCATCCTCCTTATGCTTTGATGCAGATTTAATAGGGGAACATGCTGAGGGCATGAATGAGACTGAGCAAGGGATGCCAGTAAGGTGTTTTTTAATGCAACTTACTATTTCAAGATATTGCAATGGCCTCTCAGGGCTGTTGCAGCAGCATACGGTGCTAGAGCAAGCCATGGTCCACACTGCCATGGTCCCAGACTACCATCATATTCTGGAGGGCTTCAGAACAGGCAGAAGAATCCCTACTCTTTATCCTGCCTTCGACACAGATTTGGGTTAAAATACAACCAAGGTATAGTGCTTCTAGGCACTATGTATGGCTGAAGCATCCTTAACTGTGCTGAAGCAAGAGGTTTCAGGTCGCATCATTCTTACGTGTTTGACACTGGATTCCTTCCCACTGCGGAGGACAATGACACGTACTCGGGCCAATACACTCCCCACCGTTCTTACATTCCTGAAGACAGATTGCTGCACAAACATCATCACAAAGTTTGGTTATGTCCCAAGTGATTACTTTTACGTATTATTTACATTTCAGGATGCCCAGGAGAGGTTGAGTGCTTTCCATACACAAGAGTCACATCATCTTCACTGAAAATCCATCTATGACCAACAGGATATTAAAGAAGAGAGGCAACTAGAAACAAAAAGCCCTACAGCCAAAGCATGCATTGAGACACTCTGATGCATCACACATTGCTACAGAAGCCTGAAATACTGAATTAAGTCAGCACCACTAAATAGCTTTTGTTTTTTCCAAACATACCTTTCTAAAACCTCCACCTTAGCGAGAGATCTTTTGTCTGTCATGCGATTCAGCACACGGTGAATCAGCTCCTGAATATTTGATCCAAAGTTATTTTCTATGACTCATTTTTCTGCACATTCGTCCCTGCTTATTAAGCCATAATCTAAACCACTATTACTTCTCATTGGTTAACTGACTATTTGATAATCAAACCTCTCTTCCACAGTGTCCAAGAATACCTCACCCCTGTCAATATGGGTAATATTTTTTTCAATAAAACTTTCCAATAATTACAGAAAGTAATACAGGGAAAATTGTTTTTCCTCCATGCCATTAGAGAGCTTATTGGCCATATCAATATCTGAGCCTCGGGTGGGTACTATAGCAGACACTAACACTTTATCTATTGGATTTCTACCACCCATCCTCACGCTGATTTTCATGCAGACTGTGCTTTTATCCATGCTGCCACATTTTATTTATGCACCATCAATATCTTCATTAAGATACAATGTGACCCACAGCTGTGCTACCACCGCAGTCCTATTTCAACCTTCCCTAAAAAGCTTATGCCCAATGCATCTTCGGTTCCAATCATTTCCCACTATGTTCCCACAGTTTTCCAATCTTTCACTGTACTACTTTTTCTATTATATCTGCTTTTATGTCCTATAGCACAAATTGAAGTTCTTTCACTTCATTGACTCAGCTCTTTGCAGAAATACAGATGTTTCTTATTTAGACAAGGATTAAAAAAGAAACAAATATTATTTGCTATAAAAGAATTTAGAGGACATTTTGGTCTCATGATTTAGTCCAAGAACTGCATGGTATTAGTTCTCCTTCCTTAATTTTTTCTGCCAAGTTATAGACAGTTATTTTTTCAATGTGTTTCTTGAGTTCTTTGGCACTAACTTTGTATTACTTGTGTGGACAGAGTTGTCCTTTAGTCATATATTACTTTTAAGGTATGGTTCTCCTGTTAACTACAAGATACTTACGAGTGTTACACCTTTTTCCTCTCCATCCTGAGGGACAAGAGCAAACATTTGGCCCTACGCACCTTCCTCCATTCATGCACCTTGGCTCACAAACACCTTAAAATCAAAAACATCTGCTGTTTAATACAGTTAACTGATTACAGAATAACTTATTTGTTACTTTCAGATCTTGGTAGGATTTTAATGCTTGCTTACTTTTTTCACATCTTCTGCCTGTGTACCCATCAGGACAAGTACAGACATTATTTCTCATGCAGTGACCACCGTTCTTACAAGGTGGGCTGCAGACAGCTAAAAGATACAAATAGGAGAAAAAAGGTTGTAGCTTGCATTTTTTTTGTTTGACTTACCGATATACTTCTAGGAAACAAGAGCGCAATGCTAAAATTCTGAGAGCTTAAATAGACATTCAGTAATATCAGCCTGTCCTGTAAAAATCTTATTAATGTAGATTGGTGCCTATGCCAATAGTAAAGACAAAATCAGATAAAAAGGGGTCAAGGTTGGCAACTGTACGCATACACAAGTAACCAGACTACAAAATATACCATGGAACTGGTTGAACACTGCTCAAAAGTAGAGTGGAAGAAAAGGTAAATTTTAAGTCTCCCTTCTCCTTGGACATTCACCGGAATCAGCCATAAAATCGAAAAAATAATGTAATCTCTGTTTTGTACCACTTCTCAGGTATGTGACTCGATTGTGAATTTTGTGTCTTAGGATAACAATGTTTTCTCATGGATTTCCTCATGATGGCAGCTAAGAGGGGAGGGGGGAAAAAAAAAAAAAAAAAAAAAAAAAAAAGGTTACCATTCTGACATTGGGCACCAAAGAATCCATGTGGACAGACGCAAACACCTGGCTTAGTACAGGAACCACCATTGAGGCACACAGGGTCACACATTGCTGCAGAAACAGGGTCAGGAAGAGTGGGAAGCATGACATCCAAGTAAAGTCTATAAAATATGTGCTTCTATTGCAAGGACAGGAAAGAAACAACTAAGGTAACTGCAGGTAACACCATTCACATAAAATCCTCACCCCAAATTTTAGGATCAGTATTAGACTTTCTAGAGGTGCTGCTGGCAGCAGATGAGGGGGTGCGGGGGCTCTGCGGCAGTAAGCAGCCGCCCATCGCTGCTGTCTGAGTCACGTGGTTCGAAATTTCAAATTATGGTAGATCCTACGGATGCTCTCCGAGGAACATGGAAGTCGCAGGAGTGTTACCTGTACTGCATGTAGGTCCGTACCACCCAGGTTTACACTGGCAGATGTCTGGAGTAAGACATTCACCACCATTTTCACAGTGTCTGTTGCAAACCACTACGATCCAAGAAATTGGGCAAAACCAAAGGAGAAGTGGAGGTGGCAGGGGGGAGAAGATGAGGCAGGGGGAGAGAGAGAGAGATGTTACAAATTAGGTTTGATTCATTTTTCAATTCTTTCCCAAATATTAACACTGGCAATAACATACAATTCCTCTAGTTGAAGAGGAATTGCTGCATAGATCAATCCAGTCTCAAAGCTATAAAAAGCTAGCACCAGACTATAATGGTAAATAAAATGTCTTTCCATGCAATGATCCATGGTCTGGTTATATTCAGTGTTAAAAATCTAGAAAACTTTGAATAAATTCTAAAAAAAAAAAAATATAAAGGGAAATTCAATACTAAGAGACAAACAGACCATGTTACATGATGGATTTGATGGACTCCAAGACAATTCACTCAATGTCCTCCATCCCTTCAGCAAGTGCAGCTGAACACATAGAGTGACGTGAGACTAACAAGCAAAGACATTAAAATATCATGGCTGTGGAAAACCATGAATCACATCTTCAGGTCTTCAGGACAACTTCTCATTCTCTTTAGTATTGCTTAACAAAGAGCAGCATTTTTTTTTTTTTTTTTGTGGCACAATTGAAACTAGAACAAGAAAAACTGGGAATGAAGAGTCCTGGGATTTGTGGAGGAGACAAACAAAGGACTTTCTCAATTTGGGGTCAGTAATGCTGTGGTCCATTCAGGTGAATGGCATATGAACAGCATGTCTGAATTTGGACTCTCTGAATGATAAAAATTATCAGTATGAAACCTACCCGAAATTTGGTGTTGCCAAAATGCAGCATCTAGAATTCAATATGTAAAAGACAATTTATGTAAGACTAACTACTTCCAATTTTTCAGCTACAATCACAGCAAATTTTCCAAGTTTCATGCCAGGCAAAAAAAAAAAAAAAAAAAACAGACCCTGTAATGTGTTTCTGAATTCTGTTTTCCTGTATCCCAGTTTTTCTGACCTGCCATTCACTGATACCAACTTCTGAATGTACCCCAGCATCTAACCAATTTAAGATAGAAGTTTAAAAGCTGTAAGGACATATTGAACATCTGTGTTCTGACAGTAGTATCACACGCGCAATGAGTTCAATGTTTCCACATCTGTGAATCACAAAATAAACTGCAATTTTTATAGTATGTTATGTTTTCAAAGCTACATGCAAATACTATCTAACTGATGTTCAAGAAGCTCAAGTATGGGAGCCTTCAAAGGGGCACAGGTATTATGTCATTTGCTAGCATTAGACAGAATGCATCAAAAATTTAAACCGTAATTTGCTTTCTTGCTCCTGAAGAACAGGAGAAATGTTCTGTATTCTTCCCTTAGGCTTTTTTGCTTACTTGTGTCACACCTTGGTCCCACAAAACCATACGGACAGGTACAGAGATTTCTGGCCAAGCACGTGCCTCCATTTTGACAAGGTGGTTTACAATGTGCTGCAGATACAGAATTACATTGTTCAAGAAATCAACTCTAAAATGATGCGTGGATTGGTTATACTTTAGAAAAAGGGAAATGTTAATAATTGACAGTGAGCAAAGAACTGGAAATAAAATAAGGAGAGGTATGCAATGCCTTTTGACAAGAATAAGTAACAAGAACAATTAATTCCAACAGCATACACAGAGTCTCAACAGTGGTGGTCATCCTGAAGAAAAGAAATCTGAGATAATTTCCAGACAGTACTTCCCACTCTTCCCTAGAGGCATCTACATTCACTGGTAAACTCCTCTACTTACTGTGGAAGCTAAATTTAGGAATATCCAATCACAAGCAAGATTTACAGTGTATATCAAAAAACGTGGGGTATATACCAACATGTTACTTGAAGAGTTCTGTTAAAGTAAAATTAACACACTTCTTTGCTGTCAGAATGAACGGTTATGGAAGGTATTTATAGCATCCTTTGGGTATTTATGGATTCAAAAGCAAAAAATATTCTATTTACCTTCCTCACAAGCAGAGCCACTGTATCCTGGTAGACATTCACAGACATTGGGTTTAATGCACTTCCCATGGTTTTTGCAATCAGGTCTGCATAGAGCTGTGCAAAAAAATCAACTGTGATCTTCAGATCGTTAATCTGTGGATATGAGTTGCCACAGGGTAAATCAAAATGCCATACTCACCAGCCTGACAGTTATAACCAGCATAACCAGGCTTGCATTTGCAAATGTTGGGTGCCACACACTCCATATTTTTGCCACATGTTTGTCTACATCTTGCTGAAAGGCAATGAAGAAAACAAAGAAAGGAATAAGGAAAATGAACGTGGCATTTCAGCACAACTGTGTCTTGCCTAACATAATGAACGGGTTGCACAAAATCCATTAGGTCCCTGCCCATAACTGGGGAGCCTGAGACACATCAGAAAAATATTTTTAAGTGCAACTATACAACTAAAAGCCTGTAGGCTATGCCAATATTAATAATGAAAATGAGAACATTCAATACTCCATGCATTTCACTGATCACACAGTAACAATGTACTTTCAAGTTATAAAGATGTCACAAGATTCTTCTCCACAAAGCATTTAGAGCAGTTATTTGTAATACCTCTGCAAGTGAAGCCATCTCCATAATAACCGTAAGGACAACGACCACACTTGACGCTTCCATCCTGACTTGGCTCACAAGGGACGCCAGGAAAACAGGGTAGATCGGTACAGGTCACTGCTTTAGGAATCACTACTTCACTCAGTTCTTTTGGAAGCACTTTTGGTGGGACAGTGACTTCAACAAGGACAAAAGGTAAAGGACTTGCTTTATGCTTGGCTAATAGGTGAGCATTTCCACCTTTGAATACCTTGCTTGGCAAGGAAAGCCCTTTGCTTGTATTTGTTCTGCTGCTAGGAGAAGTCTTCCTGCTGGCCTCAGAATAGCTGTAGGCCTCACCTTGTGCCCTTGTTTTCTTCTCAGGCAATACAGCATGGCTCCTTGAAGATGCAGTCATCACAGCACGTACTGAAGAACTCTCTTCCATGTTAGCAAGGTGACTACTGGTGGTGCTGAGAGCATGAGCAATGTTTCCAGTAACAGCAGGTTTTACAGAAGCACTTCTCTGAGAATTAAGTGACCTCCAAGCAGTGATTGGTTTTACTGTGGAGGCTGGCAGAGTGCTGCTACTGACCATTTCTGTAGAAATAAATCTCTCGGGGACATCTGTAGAACTGGGAATATAGCGTGAGATGCTTAAAACCTTCTCAAAGGATGATCGTTGATAACCTACAGCATATTAGAAAGAAAGGAGGCAGGAAAGTACAGGAATATTACGAGACTTTTCCTTCTAAGGGCGAGAATTGTCTTCTGAGCAGAAGAACATACAACCCATTCATTCTGTGCTTCTAGAAGTCTCTCCATGCGCTACATCAGAATATATGTATGGAGTAGAACCTAGCTCCTAACTGGCAGAATTGGAGAAGATCAAGGTATTCTGGCTACATCCTTTCCCACCCTCACCATGGCCTTTTCTTGACTGGAAGATAAGGAGAAAGCACCACCTATATGAGGCAGACAGCAGAGATTTTTCCCATACTGAGTCAATAAACAGCTTTACTGTCTGAGGAAATTACCAGCTCCACATACTGCTTCCAATTAGATGACTGAAACAGAGTTTAAAGAAAAGTTACTACTTATGGTTCACCAGTGAGCCTAAGCGCTAGTAACAAGCCTAGAATCTATAAGCAGATATTTAATCACAAGTATGTACATGCTTATACTTACTGATGCATCATGGACAGTATTTTAGGTGAATAATAGCCCATCTTGTTGCAAACGTTTTGCCATGTTTTACTCGCCAAACTTTTTTATCAGCTTTCTTAAAGTTTCTGCATGGGTTTTATTAGTGGGATGTTTCATGTGTTTTAATAACAACCGAGACTGACTCAGCCTCCTCATTGAAAGGAGTGCAAAGTGCATGAAATGTTCTCCACATTCTGCCTAGGAAAAGTGGGTGGTCTGGTGGGCTGTGGAACGGAGTATGGCACTGTAATCCCAGGATGACAGAATGCCATACATGGGCTTCTAGCATTATGGGGCAGAGGAGAAATGAAACTGCAGGAGATTATCCACCCTAACTTAAGCTCTGTCCCTAACCCCATGTAGAATAGTACTAGAAAACGCTCTACAAAAGGTTAAACTTCACTGAATCTTATTACAGAGTGCTGTCTCCCACTGCTGAAAGGCAAACCATTTTGCAGCCAATGAAGAATTATCCAGCACTGGCAGCAGAGGGAGAGAGTTTTCCTCCTCCCCCACTAACAATTCAGAGATAAAGGGAAAAGACACACAAGAATTTCCTTCGAAGAAAGCCCCAGCAGGCACAGAGCTGGAAATGCCAGCGACAGTGCTTACGGAGTTTTGGAATTAAGACATTCACTTGCCATATCCTTCACCTTTCCTTTGAGTTAAAGTAGGAAAATGGCATTCAACATAATGCCATAAACTTTCGCTTATGTCATACAGCAGATGTCCCTATTCCCATGTTACCTATTTTATGTCAGTGGTTAGTCACAAAACCAAAAGGCAATGGTAAGAATGTCATACACCACACTGTCAATAAAATGACTTGACTGACCTGAGGGATTTGTTGATATTGACATTTCAGTCTCATTTTTCAGATCAAAATACAACCCCAGTAATTAATTAAATTGAGTCAAACTGAAAAATTGAAGTGAATAACATAAAACTGACTAGAACCTTTATTTGCCAGCTATACTCTTATCAGTATGTGAATCAGAAATTCCATTTTCTTTATGAAAAAAAATCACCTTTATTCCCTTCAATTTCTCCCGTGGAATCTTTTCTTTCAACATTAGCATCTTCAAAGCTTTCTAAAAACAAAAGACGTGAAGACACATTAGCAGTTACTTTTGTTTCAACTGCAAATAAATTACAAGCAGAGTTAAAGTTTTAGTCATAAGAATAACTCAAAATTCAGAAAGCAGATAAAGAGTAAAAATTGTTTCTCAAAAATCTTTAATAGAGTATTTTAAAAGTACAAGTTATTCAGTAATTGCATTGTAAATAAATGTTTGGGCACCTTATTTGGCAAGTGCCTTGATTCGGGTAAATAGTTCTATGTTAAGCAGTCTAATAGAAAAATATTTTGTCAATAATTGCTCATATTATAAAAATAATGCAGAAAAAGTACATTTCATTGTATTCTACTTTGATATAAAAGAATTGAGGTATTTTGTATGTATTTTTTTCTAGTCACCTGCAAAAGTGTTTTACAACTATGTGACCCAGTGCAGTCTGATGTTGTCATCAACTGAGATTCTGTCCCAGCCATCAACAGTCAGAGACACAGTCCTGTTTTGCCGACTACCGAAAAGAGTTCTAAGTTACTGTTAGAAACATGAAGCACAACCAAAGGTATTTTACCCGAATGACAACAAGATAATAGCATTCTTCTGAAAAACAAATACAAAACCAAAAAATTTACCGTAGCATGACTTCCCATCTCCTCGCAGATTGTTTGGGCATGGACCACAATAGTAAGAACTGAAAGTATTAAAGCAAAATACTCCAGGGAAGCAAGGACTGGATACACATTCATCTACATCATCTTGACAATTTTTACCTGCATTGAAATACAGATATATATATATTTTTTTATAATATTGTGTCACTAGCCTTTGACAGTGCATTTATAAAAGGTAAAAGTAGAATGTATATGCAGGTGCTGAAATACAAAAAGGGCATCTATAAAGCGCAAGAAAGTATTTCAGTACATCTAGTAAGTACAGCTAACTAGGTTTGCTATTCACATTTTTTTCATCTTATATCACGTATCTTGCTTATTGTGGGAAATGGAGAAGATGATGGGCTATGGGGACTAGATGTTTATCTGCAGGCATAGGAGGAGTCACACTGTAACCAAACTTGTCAATCCTACATTTCAGCATGTTGCTGAGTTTACCTCTGTGGAGGAAAACAATGGAACCTTGCTCTCATAACATAAAGAACCATTGTATTCATGCGAGAAAATTCTTCAAGTATATCATCTAAATTTATCACAAGACCATAAAATTTCTTCGTACTGTAACAGCTATTTACATTCAAAAATGAAAAAAAAAATGTAGACATAAAATTAGAAACTCTTATTTATCAATAAATGTGATCAATGTGTGTAAATAAAGTAGCAATTTACCTTGAAGTTCAGGTGGACAGTCACAGTAATAGCTGTTTATTCCATCCACACATCTGCCAATACCACACTGGTTAAGTTTACAGTCATCAGTATTCACTTGACAGAGATCACCTTCAAATCCAGCCACACACACACAAAGATATCTTCCACTTCCAGGTGGGAAATTAATGTTTGTCACACATGAGCCATTATTTAGGCAATCACACGATTTTACACTGACCTACAAGACATGCCCAATAAGACAGTTTTCTTTTTTTAATGAACTAGCAATGAGTTTTGTAATTAAGATATCTTAAACATCTTACTAGTAGGTGTCATTTTACTGTAATATTCATTACCTCTACTTCTACTTTAGTCTTTGCATTGCAGTCATCTGTCAAAGAAAATGTTAATTTATGGAGATTCATTGACACAGCTTTCCACAGAAGGAGACCTGATGGGGAAAGACTGGCACCTTCTGGACCAGAATCCAACGTGAAATGAACAGCAGAGCCCTCTGGATCTGAAGCCAAAAACTGATATACAAAATCTTCTCCATAAAAAGTCTGTAGCATACTCTGAAAAGTTTCAAGCACTGGAGGCTGGTTGTCTGCAACAAAGGAGATACTTTCATCTTTTAAGCAAAAGTTGTAATATACTTACAAAAATTAAAAGGAGCGTATCTTTCCATTAACGAAGTCATGTCATTATTTCTCTTACATTCTAATTGAATAGCACAGGAAAAACACTAGATATTTTGATTATAACTGTAACAACATAACCAACAAATTACTTCTACTACGCAAGAAAGATGCAGTGCATCTATACACAGAAAGAACTCAGAATTTATTGAATTTAACCACTGTATTTTAACTATGCAGAGACAGTTTGCAGACGGCAGTACAGGAAGCCATAAAATGCAGAGGTGATTGGTGTTTCCTTCAACAAATGAACAGACATTGCTAAACAATGCTTGGGAATAGGTTGCAGTGACCATCTTGGCAAAACTGAGCATGAGGTGATGAGTGAGCTATTCCCTCATTGTTCCTAGGAAGGATTTTAACCACACAACAACTTACTCCCTAATAAGTCTCAGTCTATTTAGATGCCTGCACTGTTGAACTCTATCCTGTTTGGCAGGAATAACTAGTTTTCTAAAGACACCAGCTGAAACCAACCAAACAAAAACCCAGCACCAGGACAAGTTCTGTGAAAGAGAGAAGCAGAAGCCCCAAGGAAAGTGTAGGTTTTGAAGCTGGGACATAGGAAGGTGATTAAGATCGCTAAGCTTTGGGTTACAGTGAAGTGAGCACTCTAAGCAGGAACCTACCCACTGTGGGAGAAACCATGAAAGGAGAAGAAGCTGTAATGTCTCAGTACTTAGATTCTGACACCCTGTTCCTAATGTCATCCACTCTGGAGAAGAGGTTGTGCTCCTTGGTTTTGGGGAATTGCCTCTGGTTTACATACTTCTCCCATTTCTGACTTTGGCAACACTGAATTCCAGTCAATGGCTGGATGAGTTTCATTTCATTCAGGTTTCACTCCTTTGGAATAGGTGTAGCTACCTTGGCATTCAGTACAAGTTTGAACTAGGACAAGATTCAGCAAGACAGGTACCAGAAGTCCCAGTCATACAGGAACCTTCCCAATCCAGGCAAAGTCATGCCAGCATATTCACCCATGAATACACTGATGGAATGCTCGTGTTTGAGATGCTATGGACTTGGGTTGATGGGGCAGGCTAGATGGCTACTAGTAAAGCCCCAAGAGACGTCCCATTTGGTGAAGGGACCAATATATCCAAAGGTCTGAGCCAAAAGACCCAAAACTTCCAGGCTAGAACTTTGTACTATGGAGAAGGAAAATGAAGAATCTAGACTTGAGTCTTCTTTTCATAGGGTGGTTTCTAAATAGACTGAAGCATGACAGCCTTGGATATACTTCCAAGTATTTGTTTAGGCCACGTATCTATGCCATTGATGTGGATTATGTCCAAATATTAAGTGGTTAATAAATATGACATGCACTTACAATTCAGTTTGTATTCTCCTTCTGTTTGGTATCAGAGTCATTTGTTGGAAAATATCTTTTATTTCTAAATGTTGAAGACAAACATTTGTGGATATAGCTGTGCCAAACAGCAAAAGACTTCAAGTGCCAATTAGGCTGACAGTTGTTAATTTTCATTAGTTATTTGTAAATGCTTCTGGGGAGGGGACAGGGCAAGGAAAAAAAAAAAAACCCCAAACCAGCCTGACTTTTATGTGTATGGTCTGTAAAACAAAATACCATTTTCAGAAATTAGCAGAAACTTCAGATGAAAACCAAGATCAAATTACAAGCTAAAGTAGTGGGTACTAAGCTTTAAATGAAATACTTGACTAGTTAAACTTAAAACTTCACTATTTCCATGAATTTAAAAACTTAGTAGATTTTCAGCTTCTTGCTATTAAAAAAAATACTAAGAACTTACTTTCAACAACGGACCAAGTTAACTTTGATATGTCAGGTCTGCAGAGTAAGCAAGGGCTGGTTGGATTTGCGTCACCTTCACCAAAACAGAGTCCATCTATGTTGCATGTTTTCTCCTTTTAGGGAAACGACAATGTGATTCATTAATTTTTGGTTATCAAACAGTAAATCTGAATGAATTTGTAAAGTATCAAATAAAATCTAATCTTTTCTGCACTTTCACTAAACAACTAAGGCTGTTTTTAAATGCAAACAACTGACAGCATGTTTGGTTTTATTTGGCAATTATATGAAGTGCTTTTGGTTTGATTTTTTTAATTCAAAATTGCCTCATCCCAGCTTATCTTTCTGTGCTTGGAAAATCCATGTTGGAAACAAGAATAGGGTACATTCTGCTGATTTTTCTAGATTTTTTCCTGCCTGAAAAGAAGTGTATTTTCATAATAACATAGAGACTAATGAAATACATACCTTTAATGTACATAACCCAGATTCTTGCGGTTCACATGTCTGACAGGCTCCATCATATAATACCATTGTTTTAGAGTTGCTATAAATGAATCCATCATTAGAAATCTGCAAGATGTACAGTAAAATGGAATAACCCATACAGGTGTCAACGTATCACCAGCGTGGACTACTAGCATGAGCTTCAATGCATTGACAGATGCCTACATTTAGCTTAATTTAAACTCTCACAATAGTAATCAGAAATCTAATCCATCCTGCCAATAACTCTAGGCAGATATTTGACCACCTACATGTAGATAAACTGAATAGTGTAGGCTCTATTGACCTTATTGACTCAATCTGTATGAGAGCTCAGATATCTACCTCACACAGGGATTCATACACGTAGACTGGGCTCAACTCAATTTTCCCATAAATGTGTTTAATGTAATTTGAAGTGCTCTAGGGTAACTACCTGGCCTTTAACTTCTACTCCTGAAGAACGTGGCTCTCTGTAAGTCCCAGGTTGTATCTACCAGTACACTTGAAGGAGAACACTCTGAAATGGCACTCAACACACTTAAGCTTAGGTGATGAAACTGAGACCCCAAGTTAAGCAAGCAGAGTTCCACCTTTAGTGTCATTAATAAAGGGATAATATCTATGTAATATATTTTCATCTTGATAGGAATATCTGCAAGAGAATATTTGAAATTTCTGTGAGTACCTTTATTTGCCACCTGGCAATGGGTTTATCATCAACCAGATCCACAACATCAGAGTGATGGCCATCATTTGGTAACTGGCAGTCGACAGTCCTGGCATTTTGGAAGGTAGCTGGCATAGTTAGAGGTTCTCCGGGAATCCACTGTCTATCATTATACTAAATGTTAAGACAGAAAATCTGTTTTTCAGTGAAATAAATTATGAAAACATTTTTATCAGAGAAAAAAACCCGTGCATTACACAGTGTTTGAACAAGTCTAATGTCTCTGGATTAGAATGCAGTGTGAAATATTAAACATCATTATTTGCACCCACAGATTTCTATCTAAGCCTGCTACTGTGGAAGAAAAGGCAGAGAAGTCTTTCCTGCCACACATCCCTTTGGCACTGCATTGCCAAGGACAAACAGTTCTTACAGCTGGAGAGTAATGAGAGGGTTAAGCAGTGGGTGATTCTCTAACAGCACTGATCTGATGTGTAAATGACTCTATCCCTCTCCATCTCTGCTCCCATGAGAGCACAAGCTCTACTCGAAGGAACAGATGAGGTTTTTGGCAGGGCTCAGGTATTATTCTGGGTGCTGGGGGAACACTGGCTGTTAGCCATTAAGCCCTTGCACAAGCCAATAGATTACACCATTAACCCTGTAGACCTTTCTTCTAAACTGCAGTGAGGACAAGTCATCCAAGGATCTATCTTGAGAGTTCAAGGTAACAGAATAGGGATAATAATACTATTTGACTGAAATATTGATGTGGAAGCAGGGACAAGCATACTGAAAATAAAGCTAGATGGAAGTAAGAATCCAGACAGACCAAGAATCAAATGAACAGCAAGATCAAAACAATTTTGAGCTTGACTAGGTTTTACCAAGCTGACACATTTATTCAGTTACTGGAGCCAATCAAGACATTTATTCAATCCCAATCCTGACCTGAGGAGTCATCTGCTGATAAGGCCTTGCATTTTTATTTTTTTTTTCCAAGCAGAAAAATAAACAGAAAAATAAAAACATTTGCTGAAAAGACATATGAGCTCTTTTGGTTCCAACCTAACATTATTTTGTTTCTCTTTCGCCCTATGCTCTGTTAAGGAATTCACAGCAAGGGTGAGTAAAAGTGTAACAGCTAAATATTTCTAAATATGTCATTTTAAGTGCATTTAGTACCATAACCTTTAAAACATGATGCAATCTATTTCTCCAGAAACTTTTTGTGACTAACTGGAGGCAAGTTCACATATTTTTTTCAGAAACATAATAACCTTTCAAAAACCAATTAAAAAAACCTTCAGATCTACCAGCATTCTAGCTCGTTAGGTTGCTAGAAAAACTTACTTTTGCAGTTCAACGTAAATAAGAAGGAACCAAATCTGTATTTTCATTTTGGGGAAATTAAATCCACTCTCATCCTTCATAAAAATCTTAGTAAATTCTGGATCTGTGTAATCGTAGGTTCCTTGGCCACGTCCCGCCCAAACCTCTATCAAGAGATGTGCAGTAGTCCCGCAGCTGTGAAGGTACTTCAATACAGAATTCTCTGAACCACTTCTTTTAGTATCATGCACGAGACCTACATCCTTCTAAACATGGTAGGACAGCCTAGGGACAAAGAATTTGATCTAATCTTTCAAAAGTGAAAATATGTATGTGGAGTTCTATACTGTTGCAAGTCCACTGACATTTGCATAAAGTCACTATTACTCTGGCCTGGAAATTAAACAAACAAAACAGAACAATCCAAACATTCTTTCTTTTGTATTTTCACAGAAAAAAATTCTCAGCTTCCTCCTCAACTGCAGATAACAGCAGTAGTGTTCATTTTCTAACCTGGCTCTTGTCAGTGAGAAGATCATCAATAAAGTGATTAAATAGAAAGTTTCTGCATTTGGGAGCCAAACACACCACCACATACAGTGTTATATCAGAATATCTTGTCGTGAGTTAAAACTGAGAGATTTCAAACTGTGATAAGTGAACTCCCAATAACTGTCTCACTGTGAGCTTGGTGTAAAAGTCTTTTAACCTAATGGAGCGTAAACTTCCTCTCGACTTGATCATTTCAAGCCAACTTGCAAATGAGTGGATACATGTTGCCTTTAAGAAAAATCTATAGTCAACATTGCTTAATCTGTCAAAATAATTTTAGCATCTCCTGGAACTAGCTAATGAAAATTTTTGTCTCAGGAACAAAATTTTCCCATTGAATGGTTCTCCTTTCACCATCTCCACCCCCACTGCAATCACCACACCAGTGAAACCCAATTTTACTTTAAAGCTTTTTTTTTATTCTTGTGTCTAACATGACATAAAAACTTGTAATTGCCGATGGTGTGTTCCAGGCCAACACTTGTAAACTGCTTGTATATTTGCCTTGAGCAAATTCTAGGTCTGAGTAACGACAGTCTCTCTATACAGATTCCTCTTGGTTTACAGTGCAACATTTTAATCTCCTGTTCAAACTTGGGGTATAGAGCTGACATATATCATTAAATAGCCATGGAATTCTACCCCAGGGAAATGGACAACAGATCAAAAATGCCTCTCTCTTTTCGTAACAGATTTATTATGTTTATAAAAGGGCTATTTCAAGCATTAGATTGGAGACAGAAATCTAGTAATGCCTTTAACCTTGCTGTCCTTTTTCAAAGAAGTGGTACTTCAATTTCTCTCCAAAAGCACTTAAAAAACCGAACGACGACGTACTGGTCATTACTAATAGGGCTGCCCTTGCCCTTTTCTGATGGATAGCTGCCGTATGCTGTTATCTCCCTGTCGGCTGCTGAACATTCCCATTATGTTTTGTATTTCTCTTATCATGGAGGAAATGGCAATCTTGCGAAGACTTGAGTGTCTGCTGCAAAGTGCTGAGTGCCTTTGCTTTTAGCTTCTACTAAAGCATTGGGTTGTACCCACATCAATGAATAATATGTTAGACATTTTTTCCCTTGTTCTCGGAGAAGTTTAAAATGTAATTGTTACTATTCAGGGAGACCTACCTGTAATTTGACAATTTCACATTTCAGATTCAATGACTCCCTGAAGCCATGTCCAAAAGCTCTCACTGATGTGCAGTCATACTGTCGAATATCGCACAGCCCAGCATTCTCCAGCTCTGTAATTTCTGGAGCTTGGTCTTCGAAATATAGATTAGACAATGAATGTCAGTATATTAACTAATTCAAATGCATTTACATTAAGCAATATGCTTATTTCTCTATCCAGCTAAGAAAACGAAGTAAACAACAAGATCTGGACCCAGCTGAAGAAAGGCATAAACAGAAACACTTTTTATTGTTAAAATTAATCTTAACTTTAAAGCTTGTCTTGTCTTGGAACTTGAATATTATAAAGCAGAGAAAATATTTATCTGAAAACAAATGCTCGTGAATATGTGTTTTGCTTTCTCATCTATGGTTCTTTATACCACACTTGCAGAATAAAATCTAAATGAAACTCAGGTGCTAGTAATAGGAACTGGAAAGGCTACAGTTATGCAATAATTTATAATGGGAATTTTTTGTTTAAAGACTAAACAAAAACATCTCAGGTGGAAGTTATTTCAGGAAATAAACTGAACAAAGATTAGAACACTCAAAAATAGTTTTTATGAAGCAAAACCAGTTTATTTGACTTCAAGAGGAATAAAATATTTATTATTCTCTTACCTCTGTCTCTATTTGCTTTTAAATAGGTCACTAAACCAGAACCACCATTGCAAAACAAATTTGAATAGGTTTTGATTTTTGTAATACTTTTCATATTTTTCCAGTGTCCCTGCTTCACTGAATTTTTCGTGAAGGTCTTATTTGCTGAAAAAAACCCAACCACCTGCCCAGCTCTACTTGCTGTAGCTCTTTTTTCTTCACCATCAATTCTTCACCACATCTAACCATTAGCTTACAGAGATGTAACATCACCAGAAACATCCCACTTACAGTTAATAAGCAGGATCACATAGACTATAAAAAATTAGGCAATGGATAGATGTGGCAGATCTTTGCTGAAGAAGACAGCATGTGAAAACATCGCTAATCTCTTGGGGCAATACTCTGGATTGCAAACTCACCAAGTGGCAAATTTTTTAAATCTGACATAGCAGAAACTAAGCCCATGTATTGCCCTTCGGAAACAAGAAGGCTGAATAGAAAACAATTACAGCTGTATTAAACTGGAACTAAACTGCTGGATAACGAACAGGACCACTGTAGGGAACCCTTGTCAGTGTACAAAAGCAGGAGAGAAAGGCAGCAAAATAAATGTATGTTGCACAAACATTGAGAACATTATTTAAGTCAATCTCATTTTTTCCTCCCCACTTACCAGACAGTATGCTGCAGTCATATGAGCTATAGCCTTGAAAACATGCACAGCCCCATTCTGTACATTCCCCATTACCACTGCAGAGACTGGGACACTTCAATGCAATAAGCAGGCTCTCAATCGACCCTTCAAGTTCCTGGTGGTTGAAATTAATTTCTTCTAAAACTCTTTTCTCACATTCATTCTCTAGAAGAGCCAAGGAAGCTTCTGCCCAACTGAGGTCATCTTTCAGCAGCAGATCTTTAACACACATATTGATTGCATCCTCTATTCGCCGGCCAAGAAGGCCACCACAGGATCTTCCTATACTGGAATTAGCTATCGCCTGCTGGCATAGTAACAAAGCACTAGACTCAGTGAGGCCAGAAGGTGTGGGCCACGAGGGAAGAAACTTTTCATCTGTGTCAGTAGCGTGGTCCTCTGGGAAAAAATAACTGTATCCCTCTAAGTCTGTTTGGCTAAGACTTTGGAATAGAAATGCCGGATGGTATTCATAATAATTTTGGCGCTTCCCCCTACTTGCAACAGACTGACTTTCGTGAAGACGACTACTGTAATGGTGAGAGTTTCTTTTAATGCCTGAGCTTGAGGTTCTTTCTCTTTCTACACCAGTATTTTCCACTGAGGTTGCAGAGACCCGTGTGTTTACTAGTGATGATTTGTGAAGTTTGGTTTGGTTATCCTCCCTCTGCAGAAGTGTAGATGAATCCATTTCATGTGCAGACGAACGTTTCTTTAAGCCTCTGACAAGATCAACAGGGCCGAGATACTCAGCAGTGACGTCCAGGTCTGGTATCAAAGAAAGAAATCTACCATTTTCACTTTCTTTACAAGACAGAGGAAGTTCTGAATGAGAACCTGTCTCTAGGTTATTCACTGATTGATATAATCCAGTATCTTCAAGTGTGCAGTCACAGAAGACTATTTTTCTAGAAGGTGTTAAAGAAGCAGGTGTCTTGTCAAACAAGCTATCTCCCGGTGAAATTCTAGAGAAGAAAGAAAAAGATGGAAATGTATCTGAACTATTTTCATTGTCTTAGTAAAGCATTAACATTTGTTTTGCTTTTTGTTATTTTACACTTCTACAGTGCAGATCACAGAATCCATACAGCTATATTTAAAGACTAGTTAAATCACAAAACCATGAGAGTAAGTTATAATAGAAGAATTGAAAAGAGTGGATGTTTTCTTTATACCTTGATAGTTTCTTGAAAACCTACTAAACTGATCTTACATCATACTACTTAAATACTAATTTGGCGCTTCAGTTTCAATTTTCTCTGAAATTAATTATGGAATGTAATGATGGCCTTCTAACATTAACTTAAAAACTTGGGAAGATTATTTTTTGATTCGTTTGATTGAAACAGAAGTATTTTGTTACCTCCATTCCTTAATAAAAGAAAAAGGAACATTAGCATGGTTTGGGATTTGCACCCCACTTGCGGTGTGATAGTCATTCTCCGCACTTCCGTCGAAGGTGCCACAGAGTCCCATGGTATGTCTGTAATCTGAACTGGGTGCCCTAAGGGTTATGCTCATTCCCCATTCACTCACATCAGCACGAACAAAAGCTCCAGAAGAAAACAAAACCTAAAAAGAGATTGATGATATCATCATGAGAAACACGATTTTTATTTTACCTAATAAAACCAGGAGTGTTTTTTGGCAAGGAACAGTTTGAAAAGGCCAGGCATATAAAGACATCCCATCCTGTATTAGTAGCTTAATATAGTCACACCTGCAAATCTGATCCTGAATGTTCTAGATAGCTAAGAATAGCCTCAAATATTTACTATTTAGTTTTAAGCAACTTTACAACCTCTTGAAAGAAATACTAGAAGTCTCAAGAACAAAATCCACTGCAAGTTTAAATGCTGTTTCTATTAACTTGCTGTACAAGTCTGAGGAAGTCACTTAATTTTTCTGGTCCCTCAGTGTCCTTTTAATTTTTCTATTGCCTAATGTCACCTTATTATATCCTATCTGAGGACTTCAGACAAAGTGCTTCAGATAAAAGTTGAATATTTAAAATAGTCTTATACCAACAGCCAAACCCAAGTTGAAAAGGCATATCTGTTTTTATGGCTTGTGTTCCAGACCAACAGAGTGATTAAAGAGCAGTTGAGGGCTTCATTTTTAGATTCTTTCTGCTTCATTTGAAGTTCATCAGAGTCCTACAGCAGTTCTATCTCCAAAAGAAAAGCTACAGAAAATTACAAAAGCAAACATGAATGTTTTATCTGAGGGCCCCATTCTCTAGAGAAACCATCTACTCTCTTAATTCTGTGGATGTCATTCGGCATATTTAATTAGCTGCATGCACGGCCTTCCTACATGACATTAGCATGAGCAAAACAGAGCACACAGAGATCTCATTTTGGAACATTAGGGCTGCTAAGTAAGTGCATATTGAATCTGAAACCTGCACCTTCCACACAAGGGCTGTATACTGTGATTGACAACACAGTTCCAGAAAGGTACGCATGTTGACACATCCTTGGTTTTGAGAATAACATCCTTCACTTACAAGCAAAACACTGGCCAAAGGACCACGATTGTAAAATAAACATTATGCTATTGCTTAATTGCAGAAAATAAAACACATTTTAGTTCTGAAGTTGGTGTGAATTGGTAAAAATAATACCTGAGATAACCATTATGTCCACAAGCAATTATTTACTACTTACTGTTACTTTTCTTCCCAGGTAGGATTCAGTGATTCTGACATTGCTTCCTGTTGTGTCTCTATTTATTATGGATAAATGTGGCTGGGATTCACGTAGCTGACCACTGCACATGTCAAATGCAATTATATCGCTTCCTTCTTTGGCAACAAAGCCACAGTTACAGGATGCTGGGTAGTGAAGACTTCCACAGTCCCACTGGCGAACATGAACTTCAAAATCTCGAGATGTGCTCTTATAGAGAACAAATGTTCCGGTTTTAAAATTGTCATAGAGTCTGCAATTGAAAGAATGGTGTGTGAAATCACTTTGGTTACAAAATAACTGTATCACCAAGTCAGCAACTTTATCTCAAAACAGATTTCTAATATTTGGTGAACTTTGATACTGCAACTCATTTTCCTGCATCAGAAAAGCCAAACAGTACAGCCCACAAACCAACACGCAACTTTGTTTTGAACAAACACCATCGTATCTTCCTCTGTGCAGCTCTAAATCAAAAAAATTAAACCTGTTTTACAGCAGAAAAATAAGGAATAAAAGAAGGATCATAAGTGGAGTACATGTAGACCACGAAGCCACTGCCATTCTCTGATGTTTTATTTAGCAGTGCTTATGACAAGGGAACTGGAGGGTACTTCTCAAGCTTTGTGTTTCTACAGCAGTACACTGATGCAGCAAGAGCAGTAAGATGCATAGCAGTGTGCATGTGGGGGGCAGCTGCTGAAAATTGCCTAAGTACCCTTGACAAAATGATTCAGAAAGTCTCATACTTTTAAAAAGGTCTGCTTTATTAAGATGGAAATGGGAAGTGCTTATTCCCAAAGAATTTAAAAATATTTAAGATGAAAACCATAAATAGCAACTTCCTTGTTTTTTCCTTAAGGTTAACCATCTGTTCCCTGAAGCAGGGTTAAAATAGCCAATTTAATGATTCAGCGGTGAGAAGGGGAAAAAAAAAGAAAGAAAAACCCCAAAACTTTTGCTGCAAATTTAGCAGCCTCTTGGCTATAAATGGCATTTGACAGTTAATCGCAGAATGGTGATTTGCTTCATGTATAATGGACCAGCAGACAAACTGCAGATGGCTACCCTACCGGGACTGCGCAGGATTACCCGTGACTCAGTAAGGACAGTTCCTTTTCTATTTGTTTCCCCCATTTGTAAAACAAAGTAGCAACAGACTTTATCCTTAAAATAAAAAGCATCAGACCCTATCACAGTAAATCATCGCTTCATAGGAAAGCTTGATCACAATGCATCAATGGTTAAAATGCCCAGTGAAGCCATCCCTAGAATTTCCACTGAAGGAAGAACTGCAAGATCAGGATAACCCCAGTGACTTTATTATTCTTATTACCAGTCAGAGTGCTACCAGATAAGCAATTACCCTTGTCCCCACAAGAGTGGGGTTGTGGCTGAACATCCTTATTTGCAGGCAACATACCCACTTCTTCTCACCCTGCCACTTGAGCAAATGTGGTTCTGCTGAGCAGAGAATATAAAAGTCCCAGGTACCTGTGTTTGTTTTCACACCTTCCATGAATTAGAAACACTTTGAAAAACAGAAGCATAGCAAAAACATGCCAGCTGTGGCCAAGGAGGCTGTCTTCACTTTAGAAGGAAGGTCAGTGATGTGCAAGTGACAGCGGTGACTAAGTCACTTCCAGTGACATTAATGAACTCAGCACGCTGTTACACAGACAGCAGATAGCACCTAGCAACTTGATCCTTACAAGGATTCAGATAGCGACTTTGCATTAAAACAGTTTTGCCTAATCAGTCATTTTATCACTGTTCATATTTAATAATATTTCTATCTTTCACAGTCAACAGACTGTACAGCAGCCACTCCTCTCCTGGCATACTCCTCCAAAAAGGAAAATAGTCCATTTGCTTCACTCTTGCCACAATCCCAAAACTTGCATTTAGAAATACAAATATTACAAATATCATCATGTCTGGCAAGCTTTTACTAACTAAAGCATGTTCATCCTTATTGTCCAAGAAAAAATGTAAAATACAGACTGCAGTTGTGGAAAAACACAGCTAACTGGTATCATCAGCACAGATTTTAATGAATAAATAAAACACCCCCCAAAAAAACACCTAAAAAAAAAATTCCAACACACTTAAAATTAAGAGCAGCAATCCAGTAATTACCTTCCATCAAATGTAATTATATGAGGGTCAGTAAATGAGTAGCAGTAGGCAGTGGGTAGATCCTTTACTGTAATCTTCAAAACAAAGAAGTCATGTCAGATTAGGAAATAAACAGACTCAGGGGCATTATTTATCTTATGATACTAGTTTACATTCTAATAAATACATTATATTATACTTTTAATCAATCTGAGTAGTTACATCAATAGTAAAATGTAAAAAAAAAAAAAAATCAAATGTAAACAAAGCATTTCAATGAAAATAAAACAATGGAAAACTGACCACTTAGAAATCTCGGTGTGAGTCAGCAAGTCACAACTGAAATAGAAACTTCATTAACATCAGCCACATTTCTGGCCAGTTTATAGAGCTTAACATGAAGATTTTCAACCTGTGTGCTTTCTGGAACATAGCCATTCCACAGGAAATTCTCACTGGATATAGGTTCGACTGCAATTCCGGTAATTCTGTCTCCATCCTGCATAAAGTCTGTCACAGCAGTGAAATAAATTACAGCTTGACTACAGATTCCGTTTTTGCAGGGCTTCTGGAGAAGATCCACATGACAAGAAGAAAGAGCCAAGTTTAAACCTAACTGCTCTTTACCTGTTTTAATGAAAACACATCATTAGTGAGTTTTCCTCTAAGTCAGTCACATTTTGTATATTACTGTTAGTATAGATACTAATGTGTTTACAAACATTTTCATACATTAAAATAATTAGCATTTTTCTTGGGTTTGGTCATGCAGAATCCCTTCCCTACATCTTCATACACACACCCAAGAAAATGGTTTTTAATTTTCCCGTTTGATAGACAAACGGAAATCATGATAGGCTTGCTAATGTAACACAAAAATGGTTGTCTGCATAGGCAAGGCTCCTCCCTGGGGTTCACAGGACTTGGGCTTCAGAAAGTACTACGGAAAATGGTAATAACAGTAAAAAATGAGGACTTCATGACTGCATATACAACACTTGCAACACAACAGGTCAACAAAATGAACTGAATTATCAACTTGAATAGACAGAATACTGTAATACTTGCCAAGTTATGGCTCTGGTATCAATAGCTGCCAAAAACATCTGCTAACTTCAACAAGTAATGCATTATGGACACATTCTTCCATACTTTCATCAGCAGTATATACAGCCTGTGAATATTCTGTTTTCACATTTTAGAAAGTATTTCTCAATGTAACAGCTTCTCCAAAGAAGGAGACCAGCGGGAATATTTAGAAAAACACATTAAACATAAAAAATGCAAAAAAAAATCAGGATAATACTTACCTTCATCAACAGTATTTAATGATAGTGTGAGTTTGCAGTCACTTTCAAGCTGGCTAAACTCTGGACAAGGAATAGGAATGCTACTTTCTATGGCCAGCCTGTATTCCTTCCCGTCTTCTGATATATCATGTGTTTCTGGATGTATCTATGACAGAAGAAATTGTACTTAAAATGCAAGCTTTGCAAGTAAACTACAGCACTGCTTCCTAACCAGCTAGCAGTACAGTATGAAAAAACTAAAGAGATGGAATAGCACCGTGCATGGCCTGCTCCACTTGATCAGGCTTATTTAGATGGTCTGAAGAGCAGCAACCTACTGGGGAGAAGCAAGAGTCTTGAAGAGGTGAGAATAAGGGGCCGGGATAAGGAAAAGGCAAGAGTAAAGGCTAGCTAGAAAGGTAAACCACATTAAGCCCACAAAAATGTATTCTCTGGGTAACTTCTGGAAGATAAAATACAAAGCCCTTTGGGGAGACAGGGGGGAAGCTACCTACAAGCAACAATGTCCCAAAAGAATTTGGAAGCATCACATTTCTGCTGGGATTCCTCTCCGTAAACTTACAACACAGCTCACTCTGGATACATAATCAAAAATGCAACTAGAGCTCATAAGAGAGGCCTACAACTGAGCATTGTACGTTGGGTGAAATCCTGAACGCAAGCTCACAGGAAAACAAACATAATGCACTTTGCGCACTTTGCGGTGCGCACTACAGACCTGCCATTTGCATGAGATAAATCTGGGCACTGATCCTGCAGATACACAAGCTCAGGCTTAACTTTATGAAAGGCAAATCCTTAAGTCAACAGGACTATTCCCAACACGTAATGACATGCAGTATGTCTTTCTGGGATTGGGGTCCCACTCCTGGCCAGCAAATGGGTCTCTATAGCTATATCCACAGTAGGAGTTAAAAATTACTTTGGAGCTCAGCCTCTGACCAAGTGGCATGGCACAGCTTCTGTCCCAGTTTCCTCCTCTAAGCCCAGACCAGGTTGGCATCACCCTTCCCTTATCTCCCTCCCAGCCAGCTGGGAAGAGTCCCTGGCTGAGGCTATGCCGTGAGCCACGTGCTAGGACAGCCTGTTGGCATAGGCCAAAATCACAACAGAAAAGGCAGCAGCAGTTAAACACAAGAGACAACAGTGCGCCAGGGCTCAAGTCTGAGCTGTGGCCCTCCTAGTTTAGAAATACAGCATCAGAGTCGAGTCTAGCTGCTAGAAATCAAGGCTTTCACTACATGTGCAAGTTGCCGATTCAGCCTTCCTGCACCTTGAGAACATGGGGAGCAGAGAAACAACTTTTACTATTCTGCTTTTTGACAAATTTAAGTTTGCTACAGCCAACAACATGCTCTATTAATTCACAATTCAACATTTTGAGTGCCTTCTAGTCAGAGAACAGACCACTGTAGCAATACCCAGAAAGATTCCTACTACAATAAAGGAAAACATTTTCTTTCAAAATTACCTTAATGCCAGCAAAAAATTCCTTGCTCTCAACAGAAGAGCTTTGTATATCTGGCTTCTCCATGAAAAAAGCAGAACTGCTACAGTAGACCTGTAGGGCAAAACCAGTAAAACAGAATACATTTTTGGCATGAAGTGGTCATGTGAATACAAAATCCATCCATCACAGGTCAGTTTGATGGAGTCATCACACTCAGTCCTCTGTTTGCACCAGAAGTCACCAACTGCCAGTGGTGCTGCTTAAGAAAAACATAGAAATAGGTCGAGCATCCCAAGACCTTTTCCTGGCATACTCCTCCAGTGGTGCAGAGACTTCTTGAACTAAAGGCCATATACAAACCATCACGTTTAACAAGCACCTAAGACTCCACAGATTTTTCTGGAGCATTTCTGCACCCCATGACATCTTGTGGAAATGCATTCTATACTTTATTAAACATTATTTAGTTCTTTTTGTCCGTTTCACATTTTTTGCCTTTTAATTTTGTTGAGTGCCCATTAGATCTCAGATTATGCAAAACAGCCATCCCCTCCTCCTCCTCCTCCTCCTATACTTTTTCCCTGACGCTATGGGCCTGGATAATCTTTTTCAAGCTGAAGAATTTACTGTGATTTCCCTCCATTGAAACAGTTCCATGCTACTAGACACTGTGGTTTTGCTTTGGTTTTGTATTTTTTCTTTGTTTATTTTGCTGCATCCCTTTTGAGATGTGTTGACCACACATGCAATATTTCAGATCCCGAGAAAACCAAGGATTCATAGCAGCAGCAAGTAGTTTATGACTGTGTCTTTCCCTTTGACTGTGACTGAGTTAACACTGTCAGGCAACTATTCACAAAGTCCCCAAAGGATTTTTGAGGATTAGCAATTGCTTTTGTTGCCCATAAGCCTTCCAAGCACCCTGGCTTTGCCTTGAACACACAGGCACACACACACCAAGCACATGTTTTTTTGTTTTTTATTTTGGCCAGGAAAGATTAACCTGTGTTTTGGTACATACAGGTAGAAAGCTTATTGATTTTCCAATGCTTAAGCTTCTCAAAGCTACCATGAGAGCCTAGGTCTTGAGTCTCCTACCACAGAAGGTAATGCAGGTACTCCCTTTGCTTTTGATGGCAGAAATGAAACCATTTAAATCCAATCCTAGAGACGAAACTATCAAGCAGCAGCTTGTTATTGACTCAGAGAAAAGAAAACTATCTAATGAATCAATAACACAGCTTTGCACAACCTCTGGCTCTTACAGCCTCTCACTTAGATGTACTTGCATCCAAAAAGCCTCTTAATTTACAATATCAAGCAAAATCACAGTAGAGGGTGAAGAAGATGCGACTTGAATAAACATTTATCTCCTGGAGGCACGTTATAGTGTACTGAGACACAACAGTCTCAAAACCTTAACAGCAGTGATAATTACTGATATAGTCTGTGGTATTTCCACACTCATTTGGGTACTGTTGGTGTAAACAACAACTAGAGGCAGAATGCTTCTGCCAAGAAAAACCATACAGCAAGGTGCTGCAACTCTGTCTCTAACAACTGTTAGTGTCTACAGAGCCACATTTACAAAGATACAAAGAGATTATAATTAGGTTTTAACATACTCTGTCTCCAAGTCTGACGTTTATCCCATCTAGTTCTAGAAGTGAGAACGTATGAACTGCTGTTTCATGTTTCAGTTCCTCTTTGATACCTTCAGGAGAAAGTCTTGACCAAGTTACAATGAATCCGACCGAGCTGTTTGCAAAAGGGACGCCAAAGGTACATCTTAGGTAAACGCTGCCTTTGATCAACTCTGCTACAACTTCAGGAATGGCTGGTAGTGGTGGTGACACAGATGGAGGTGATGAAGGAGCCAGGTTACCTAGTCAAAGAGAAGTGTGGTTTGTGCCTTTTATTCTGTGCAAAAGCAATATCAGATGAAATTACATTGACATATTTTCCCTATTTAATACACTAATAATATTTACCTTTTTTCCTGTGTGGAAATATTACATAATTGCTTAGAGAATCAGAAAAGATGTGTATGTTCCTGTTATTTATGGTTAAAAGGAGAAAAAACTCTTTATAAGCCTTTGATTATATTCTAGCCGATAGGAAGGTGCTGAAGGGGCAGGGGGGAACAAAAACAGGGGAACAAAATACAATGAATTATTTTACCAGACAGGAGAGAGCAACATGCAAAGAAATTTGGAATTTGCCTGGCAGAAGAATATTTTCTCTACTTAAAAAAAAAGGGGGGGGGGGGGGGGAGGAAAAAAAAAAAAAAAAGAGCAACAGTATGATTTGTAGATTCATCTTATATTTGACTCCCAAAGAATCAAAGTAATCTGTAAATCATCATTATTAAAATTAGTTTTTAACACTTTGGTACTTATTCTGAACATTATACTGAGAAGGTACTTTTCTAATTCAAGGTCTGAAATTGCCTCCAAACTGCTCATTTTGCAACAGACCTAGCAATACTGTTGATAACACGAACATGTTTTTATTCAAGACAGAACATGACTAAATGTTGACATTACTGGGTCATAGACACACAGAAAATCTTGAAAATCAAACCAAAATACTCACTGCTACAGACGCCTTGAATATCCATTCCTTCAGGATCACAGGTCTGTGGCTTTGCATCTGAAACAACTATAAAATGTTCTTAAATTGTATATTCCACACATACAGAATATGTCCACCAGTGCTCTTAAATTAGTGCCCTATGTTAAAAATAATACACCAAATATCGCAAGACACTAGTTGAAGTGTAAATTATCAGAATGGAAGTGATCTTTTAATCTGACCCATATACAATTACGGTAGCAGTCAGTACAAAGCCTTGTGCTGGAAATCACAAGTGGATTGGCTATACCTAGGAGGAAAGGTACGGAATATTCTACCACCTCTACACCTTTTACTGCAGATGTGCCCAGCCAATAGTTATAGATGTTGTTAGTGAAAAAAAAGGAATTAACCTATTCTCTTGAATATATATTTTGTCTCCCCAAATCCATATCTGAATGCTTATTTATTAACTGTAAACCTGGACAGCCAAATCAGTGCAGACCTGCTTGGAAAAAAATCATCTTTCCTACAGGGGCCTAAGACAAAGTGCTTGTGCACTGCTATCGTTTGGTACTGTGAATGTTATATTAAAAAAAAAAAGTGGAACTTTGATTAAACGTGAAAATACCAGTGCATTTGTAACAGGGGTAGGAATAGGTTAGTCACTCCACTCAAACGAAGTCAAAAGGGCAGCAGCAACACTGAAACCCCCATTCACCAAAAAGAATGAAGAGCAGATTTTGATGTTCCATGCTTCAGTGATACAAAGTTTGAATCCCTTAGCACATAGAGGAGACACTGTTAAAATTTGCATCAAGTGTTTACAGCTATGAAGTGTTAAAGAAAAAACACAGCACACGTGGTAACCTAGATACAAAAAGCAGCACAAGAGTACAACGCACTTCACGTGAAAACATCATCTTAAAAGAGGGCTTTTAAACTCAAAATGTGTTTCCAATTTACAGCATTCAGCAGAGTCAAACCAGAGTTATGTTTCTTGCCTACTTTGTCTTCAGGCAGTAAAAATTTGCTAGATCGCTGCCTACGTTTTTTATATCCCGTTTCCTTTCCATGAGCCATCATCCAAAGTAAATGCAAAGCCCTATAGTGCAGGAGTTCTTCATCGCTTCAGTCACTTGCAAGCTGAAATGTCCCATTTCTGGCATTTTTTTCTGTCAATAAACCCTTGGAGAATGCCTTAACAATTGGACTGAAAGGTGTAATGATGGGCCAATAAAGCAGCAGAAAACCCACTGATAGTTTCACTATAAAGCTTTTGAAAGCGGTCGGTAATGGAGAATATGACTTAGAGCAATACCATATATGATGCATAAAAAAATTGCTAGTATCTTCACAATGGTGTGCTACATGAGCTAATAAGAATTTCCTACTACACTACTTTGTCACTATTTCACAGTATTTATAACTGTAAGGATTTAACCATGCCTTCTTTAAGTTATCTAAAACATTTAGCATGAATAACGAAATACTGAAGTTTTGAGCTGTGAACACCAATAGGCTATTGCAGCACAAGGGTCCAAGACAACATGAGATGTTGCAAAAGGACTCCAATTCTTTCTCACAGTGCTAATAAAGTATGTAACAGTTGAGCATTTCTGTGCTGAATTTTCTTCTAGCAACAACACATATACTCTACAGAAAAAGAGTTGCAGTAAGAAAAATACTCGTAATGATGCTAAACAATAATTGATATAAATACAGTTTGGTCAAGTTCTTAAAATTTACTCTGACACATAATTCTATGTGTATTCAGTAATGGGTATTTGCAGAGTATGAGCACCATTGTAGGCACTCTGAATTTTGACTTCTAGATGTGTCTTATATTCCCACTGTTTTCACTTATATGGAAATTTTCACTATACAGAAATTTTCAATTCTTATGTTTCTGCACTTTGAACAATATTCAAGTGCTAAATGTAAGTCAAAAAGGGGTGGTATGAACCCACCTGACCACACCAAATCATTTTTCTATCCTATCAATATTAAAAGTATGGATAGACAGAAATTTTAGCATGTGTAACTATTTCCAGGCATTTCTACTCAGCCAAATACTAGAACACACTTGCTCATAAACAGACACACTTAGCTGAGCCAGGGCATGCATTTTCTCACCTTCTGCACAATACCCCATGCATCCTTGGGTGGGCTGCAGTAAGTAAACAAAGAAATCTCCGCAGTTCCTCACACTGACAGGGATTCGGAAAAGACAGCAGTCTTTTGAAGCGCTGAAGAAAAACTGCCATGTAGCACAAGCTGTTAACTGTTTGATCCCACCGGGTCGAGGCATGGATTCTGACTCCCTCAGAGACAACCAGACAGGGGCTTGAGTACCACAGCGATTCAGCTTCAGCACCAGAGAAAAGCATCAGAAAGTGGTTAATGCTATATCAAACTGTTGCTGTGCTTTAATGAGAGGTACATCTGTATTCAATTAATTTCCTGCATGAGCTTTAGCAAAGTTTAGGCAGTATAATTGTGGGCTTGCTTACTTTCCTCCTCAAGGCTGAATACAAATACACAAAAAAGAGACTTAAGTCCTTCTTTGAGTCTAATGAATTTGTGTTTCTAAAGACAGGGTATAATTTAGTGCCTGAAGAACTTAACTGGGAGCCACACCTGAGCATTTTGCCCACAAAAGCTAATCATTGCGTTCTGGCTCAGTGAGTTACTCTACACCCCTTAACCTACAGTAACTGACTGCATAGGAGCTATCAGAACACAGCAAATACAGGGTAGAACATATGTACACTGAATATCAACTAAAGGTGCTAAAGCTGACTTGTTTTACCTGCCCTGTGCTGGGGCTGACTGAAGGCTCAGCTAACCTCCCAGATTTCTTCTAGGAGATGTGGCCAGCTGGTGCCAGGTTACTGACTTGCAGCCCTAGTCAAAAATGCAAGACACCTGATAAACCCAGTCTGTCTTTCCATTTCCCGCCTTCAGAAATAGAGATGCTGGTAGCACCCCCCGCCCTGTAACAGCCACAGTGACTTTGTAGCAACCCTAAATCCTTTGGTGTTTACAAAGCAGTGGCCTTGTCCCAAACAAAAGCCTGGTTCAGTGCTTTTCCTATGGGAGTGAGAAGTGTGCTGTGGAATGGTCTCCTTCGCCCCTCACCGCTGTGGCTATGTGAGGTCTTCAGGTCAAGGAAGCTGCCACGCAGGTCACAACTTAACAGTAGCACCAGTCGTGGTAACCGAAGCGCAAGTCTGATTTAGCAGACACCAGGGTTTACCAGTGGAATACAGAAAAAGGAATCCTGAGAAAAGGAGACAAAGAAGGAATCTGGTTCATGGGTTACCAGACTGAGTTAAAGATCACCTCCTGTCTTTCGTGTGCTGCAGAGAGCAAACTGAAGAGAAACACCTAGAAGGACATAGCCTGTTAAAGCCAGCATTTGGAAAATATTTACAGAAAAACCGTAAATCTGAAACTGTGAGATTTTGTGAGCCTCTTCTCTTTCATACATGGCCTCAAATATTCCTTTCTTTGACCTGATAGTGAAACGACATCTCAGATCATCTTGCCTTTAGACCAAGAGGTCTGCAGACTCATTGAGCAATTACTCAAATCCAAACTACACTTTTCTTTCTTAATCTAAAATATCTGAGCCCACCATCAATTCATCAGACAGGCAGAATTAATGAGAAGTAGACAGAAATGGGATGGATTGTTTAACAGAGTCTGAATCTTTGACAAGGATTAAATACAGCTATAATCAAAGTTCTCCTAAAGGGAAAGACAGGAGGAAACTTCCCAAACAAGACATCCATTCTAGTTTGGTTTTAATGTTTTGACTCTGCGATTTCAAAGTAAATGTCTTGGGTTTGTCAACAGATGCAAAGAAGCAGATGTCAATGCATAAATTTCATTTGCTGAGTAAGTTTTCAATCAATCTCTTTCCATCTGTAATTATCTGGATTCTTCTGTATTAGGATGGTAGCCTACTTTTACCAAATATTTCCTAAGCACTGAGAACTTTCCTAGATGATCTGAGCAGGTATCTTGCTAGTCTTACCTCTGTTCTGAAAAACACAGTTTTGTCCCCTGGTTTATCATCCTGGTTCTTTGGATAAAAGTATCCATTTTGAGAAAATATAACTAGTTAATTAATTTGTTTGTATTAAACCTAACTGAGAGAAAGTCCTTCAGGAATCATACTTTTTGCTAGGTTTCTGCAGTATAAAAGCCTGGGTAACGGCAGCCTCTGCAACACAGCCCTCTGAGTCCTTGAGTCAGCTGCACATTAAAGGTACTTCAGCCGCTTTATACTGCTGTAAAGCTTCAGTAACAAAAAAATTAATTAATTAATTAAATAAATAAAAATAAGAGGGGCTGCTATAAACTCAATTTAATTTTATTAGTATGTTTTAACTGTTTTGTGTTCCTTTAAAAGTGTTCCGTTGTTGAGCCTTTTTTTTTTTTTTTAAGAGACTGTGACCAGGCAAATCAATATATTAGAAAAATCATGGGTGAAATATTCTAATGACATTTTTATTTTTTTTAAACAAGGGAATGTTTTAAAATAGGAAACTACAAAGATGTATCTCCTTAGAATATAACAATTACAGAGATGTTGGTACGCTCCAAAATAAAGCATTACAAGTCTAAAGTATTAGATATTCCAAGGAATTCCTGAGTCTTAGGGGACTTGTAGATGACCAGGCAACTAATCTTCAGTTAGCTCTGTTAGTTCAAGTCATTTTAGGAGTAATCTCTTCTCTCTAACATAATTACTTTAAAAGCTCCACAATTACTGGATCCATGCAGCTGCAAGTCTCTGTACCGCTTTCACAGGGCCTTCCGAACAGACTGACCACCACGTCGTCGCAGCTTTACATGATATCCCTGCTGCACCGCCACTGCGAAAATCTTCTTTAGCAGTGACTACAAATAGCAGGTTTTGAGTCCTCTACAATGGATGTAATTTATCATCCTCTGCTATTGCCCGTTCAGTGTGACATTTTCAAGGCTTAAGACTTAATTGTCCAGTTAACACATTTTAATATACTCGAGTACTTAGAGAGAATAGGTATTATGTGTTCCTCCACATCAGTCTCCATAACCATATTCTTTTTTTATACCTCCCCTAGTGAAAAATTCTTAAGAAAAACCATGTATTTCTCATAATCAAATAAGCTGTAACAATACCTCCACGCACTTGGTCGGCATCTCAGCAGGCTTATCAAAAATCATAAAGCGATACCATCCTGGTGTTAGGGAATGGTCACATATTAAATCCTGAATAGCTGATTGCTGGAGGTGGGATGAATCAAAATCGACGCTTCGGTAAGGGCTCTGCAGGATCTGATGTCCACCAGGAGAGCATTCAAGAACTGCGGAGCAAGAGTATTTAGAGTATCAAGATGGAATGCCTAACAGGTATGTCAGAAAAGATGCTAAGCATTTTTAACAGGAAAATGTGGATATATTGCAATAAGATGTGAGCTACTTTTACTGGAAAACCTATTGAAGTCTTAGTAACAACACCAAATTGGTATGTTAGTACTCTAAAATTTAATAGAATTCATCATGTGGTAACTTTCCCTTCTTTAAGTGGACAATAAATGCAAATTCCTAACCACATTAGGCATTTACCCTAGACGTAACAACAGTGGAAAGGAATATGTTTATACTTTCTGGATTTTGACTTTCTAGTTCCACTGATGTTTATGAAACCTAACAACGTGAATAAAAATGGGGTGTCAGATATAAGAGAGGATCAAAATCTTATCTCAAGAGGAGTAAGGATTTTCCAGAGGTCTTCTGTAAATAGGCTACCACTTCACAGGGTTCCTTGGCGTGAAATGAAGAATTCCTTCAAACGGATGAGAGGTAGTCATGTGCAGTTTGCATGTATACATGCAGATCATAGCAAAAGCGTGTATGGAAATGGGTAGATACTTAGCTACACATTTTAAGTCAATTTGCTTGACTGACATGCTAAATTTGAATAAAGTAAATACAACTGACAAACATATTTTTGGACATCTAAGTGACCTTGTGGCCTCAGAAAAAAAATCTCAAAACTGCTGATAGGTAAAATGAAGGATCAGAATCTGAAGAAATCTTTACAACAGCTTTTTTAATGTGCAGGCTCATTCAGAAATAAAGCAGAATGCCAGAACTGCCGAGTCTGATCTGGCAGCCGAGTTGACTCCTGCCAAAGACAGCGACAATTAAATTTCTGGCTAATGGCATATTTGCATGCAGTGTACCGAATGGCCATTCTTGCTCAGGAACGTGCTTGGGAAGTGAAAACAGGGGGGAAAAAGTAAGAGAATGTTTATAAACAAATAACATTTTAAATATACCTATCTATTTACCTTGCTTTTAGAAATGGATACGAACCGATGCTGACTGTGAATGGAATTTCAGGCTCTATCGAATGATGCAGTTAATCTTAATTCTTGCCTCTACTATGCTACTAATGAATTAAAAAAACACAGCTGTAAGCAAAGCTCTATAATCTTATGCTTTGAATATTAATACTCTGATCTTCAGTTTTCGCTCCCATGTTTTGGAATGGTTTTGTCCCATGTTTTGCACAGCGTAATGGTGTCACTGATTACAAACATATTTTGGTTGAAATCATGCAAGGGTGCACTACCTTCCACATTTTTCACCTCATTGTCCAGATAACCACAATTATAAAACAGTTTCAGAATCAGGTAATTCCCCTCCTTTAAATGGAGAAGATGCCCCAGTGAAAGAACAGACTTCATCTCTTTCAAGCACAGGAGGAGAATCCTATAGTCTTTCAGAGACTGCAGATTTAATCTGATATGGCTTTAGGCTACCCAGGCAGGTAACAATAGCTTTATCTTCTATCCTCTAAGGGCAGATGGAAGTCAATGTGATTGACTGGGCCACCACTGTGCTGCTGAGTTGCTCGTAGTAGCCTGTAGGCTATTCGTGTCCATACAAGTTGACCTTACTGAGAATTTATCCTTCATTGGAATTTGAGGAAAAGCCCTTGAAGAATCACAGGTCAGTCATGTGTGTTATTGAAATGTTTTCCAAGCAAGCTACAGCACAAGCAGTTTACGAACCATGGTGAAAGTTTCTTCCTGTCTTCTATTTTTTTATTGGAATTCTCCCTTTCATACAGCACCCTCATTAGTTTTCTTTCCTGTAACTGAATCACTCCTGAAACAATTAATATCCGTTACCTTTTCCATTAATAAATCAAGCTAGACACGAGACAAGTCTTTATTTTCTTTTCCTCCACAGTTTAATTAGATCATCGTTTGATAGAGCTTTGAAACAGCTGACTGTACTCACTTGTAATAGGGTTATAAATCCTACTAAAGATCAAATTATATGTTTCTTATTATTATGCACATCACTTCAAAATGTCACCCAGCTCTTCATCTATCCTTTCTTCCTTTTTAAAAGTATGCTAATATTTCCATAGCTATTACTTGGAAATCTCATGTTGCATAACACTGGTTGATATTTTTTTCTTTCTTTCTTTTCTTTTCCTTACCCATTCTGCAAACCAACTGAAAATAACTGCCATCATCAATAACACAGATTAAAATATTTTATTACACATCTGAGCATAACTGATGTGCTGTCTAACCCTAACAACAGCAGAAACAAACAAAACTATTCTATTTATGGACACATGCACAAGAAATGAATGTTGTGTCCTCTGTGAAAAAGTTACCCCTGCAGACCAGATCTGCTCAAATCACAGGCATTTAAGAGGGGAGTTGGCTATATTTTCCACTGAAATTATTATTTCCTTATTCAAGATGTATAAAAAAAATAATTTTGATATAATCATTCTTTCAAAATTCATTCTCAGAATGATGAATACCAATTTTGCTGTAAAGGTTTTTGAAAAACTTTCAGCTCAATGAGTTGAGTCTGACAAAATAATAAGGAACTGAAAACAGGGTCTGATAACTTGAAAGTGCTACGGAAGCCTACCTCCAGGGCAAGCTTACCTACCAGCTCTGCCTAGTATGGAGGCACATTAAAGCATGGGAAGATGTATGTGCTACTGTTGACTTCATCCACAATCACAAAATATTCTGACAGTTAATAGAAAAACTCATGTTAGTTTTAACCAAATTTATCACTTAAGCATGATTACTCTCAATGGAAGCCTTTCCATATATATAGGAATATTCTTTTTAATTGTTTCTTTTCAGAGCTTTGAATGTGATTTAGTAACTTTAATTTTAAGCATTTGCTTTAGGATAATGAAGTTCTAATTATAAAATACACAGATAAATCCTTGAGAATTAAGACCATGAAATTCAGCCTCCTCTGTATATTGTGCACCACTGGTTTAACTTCACCTAGCGGAGACGCACACAATAGGCTATGAGGAGAGACTTATTTCTAGGAAGTCAAACTCTCCCATTTTGCTTGGAGGTCCATGTGCTCCATACTCTCTGCTGAAAAAGCAATCCGTCTTGCGAAAATATGCAGCTGGTTCCCTAGAATTTGAGTTTACTTATCCTATTCTGTGCTGCTTTCCACAAATACCCTATATATTGCATATGGCTCTCTACTGTTCTTCAACTGAAGTCTCTGCATGCCGGGAAGAACTTGATTCCACATTTGCTTTTTCCTGACTGTCTTCAGGATTACTACAGCTAGCTTTGCCTGGATTCATCCCAGACCTACTTGGTCCTGCCAGATACTGAGACATGTGACCCTGAGCTGGAAAAGAATTCAACTTTTGCGACATCTGAAACCCAAGGATAGCATTGTGCCGGCAGATGAGCCTTTGGGGAGAGACAGAGAGGAAACCTCTGCCAACACATTGGGGTTTGTACCATGACTGCCACAAAATGGGTCAGGTAATAGGTACTCTGAACACCAAACGTTAACCAAAGTCAGAAGTCCTTGAAATCAACACAGGAGCTCATTTTCCACAAAGATCTATTTAAGCGGCTCCTGATGACTCCCTCTGAGGCACTCAGGTGGAAAAGGAGTTCCACGAAGGAAGGGTTTTTCAATTCCCTGTTCACATCTCTGTTCCAACCCGTATGCAGAGAGGTGACAATGATTCTCCACCTGTCCATAACGTTTCCAGTGTTATGGGGCAGCGAGGGACCGAGGACTGCTGGGTGCAAACCAGAGGAAAGGCGGGGAAAGGAGCCACTTGCGGAGCACAGGCAGGCAAGGGCAGAGTGGCAGGACTGGCACCTCGGCTCCTCAGGTACAGCTAGCTTCTCAGGTTCTAACTCCTGCTGTCCAAAGGCCAGGATCTGGCAAATGGCTACAGGCAAACAAACGGTGCCATTAGTAAGTGCCCGCTGTGATCTTGAATGTGCTTTTTCTTGTGTCTACTGACTGCAAAGGAGGCTGCGCGTCAACACCCCAAGGCAGAAACTGGAACTCGGACGGCATTTAACAAAAGTGCTCAGATGTATACGTGGATTTAAACTAGTTCAAAATACTGAAATAGAAAGAAGTTCACTTTTTGGAAGAAGTTATCCTGAAATAATTATTTAGGACAACGCTTTTAAAGCAAAATATGAAAATGACTGTCACTATTTACCTAAAAGATACCATTTGCTTGGATGAGACACAGAAAAGAACACGATGGCAAATGCTGTAGCGATGACAGTACCGCAACACAATGAAACAGGAATATGAATACTTGTGTACACGGAACAGTGAAGAAAATAGAATCGACACGCACACATTAATACAACCTCACAAACAACCTTCTTTGGATGGGTGTTAAACCACTTTTCAAACACACATGTCCACACCCTAAGGGGTGCTTTGTAGAGCAACTTTAAAAGAGTTGCATAACCTTCCGAAACATGTAAAGTACATGCTTATAGAATACTTTCTAGTCGTTCTCAATATAATACGCTATTGTATCTACGCTTTACATGGATTTTCTCTCGGAAATTTGAAACACCACAGACAGGGGTTTTCGGCCAGGTTTTGCAAAGCGTTTTGCAGCGGTCGCAGGTCAGGGCGCACCACCGCGCCACATGTGCTCCAGCACACGGGGGAAGGAGAGCAGGGAGGAGAGAGTTGGGAGAATTAACGTTCCTGGCCTTGCATTTTCACTCGGCGGGGTCTCCCTGCAGCCGCCCTGTGAGAGCGGCAATTTCCATTTTGTCCGTCCACCGGGTTAAGCCTCGCCCAGTGAAACTGGTTCGGCGTGACCGTCGGGCTGGAGAACCAGCGGTGGGCGGGCACCGGGGAAGGACCCGGCCCGACCCGAGCAGCTCCCCGGCACCGGACC